AAGAGCCTTTCGTCTTCTTAAATGTTTATGTGACGTTGCAAAAATGGCATTAAGTTCTTGCCGGGATAATTTTAAAATTACCTAATGTACTCACTTTTTGAATAACTCACTCATTTTACTCACAAATTATGAATATAATGAAACAAATTATAGTGATTAGTTGGATAGCTAAAGTGTCTATATAATAAGTAAATAACGTGGATATACAAATGCCTCCCACAAGAGTGCTTCTCAATTTCAAACACATCAACAACCCGCAGTAGACAATTTCAGCATCTCTGTTTTCAAGTTTTTACTCCCTTGAAGATCTAATGGGGTTATCATCATATTAATCAAAGGGCAGCAATAAATCATTGGCGAGGGCTCACCCCTACCCAGTTCTCGAGCGTGGAGAATGGCAAGGCAGCTTCCATTCTGCCGATTGCGGTGGAAAAAGGGACAGATCGTATCGCTGGAGTATTGAGAGCGTGCGGCTGAAGAGGTTTATCGCCGCTTGAGTATTGGGAGCGCGGGGCTGAAGAGATCTATCGCCACTTGAGTATTGAGAGCGCGCGGTTGAAGAGATCTATCGCCGCTTGAGTATTGAGAGCGCGGGACTGAAGAGATCTATCGCCGCTTGAGTATTGAGAGCGCGGGGCTGAAGAAATCTATCGCTGCTTGAGTATTGCGATCAAACGTTTCTGAGAAGAGAGAGTTGAGTTGCATGGGTATTGAGGTTCATAGCTGAAGTGATCGAGCACGTTTCGAGTCTGATCTGTGTGCGCAAATTTTTTTCATAAAAACTTGTATTGAGAGAATATTTAATTAAAATTGTTCACGTAATTCAGAGATGGCACGACGTTGGTTATGTGAAAAAAATAAATCCCAAGTATATTATAAAACATATGATGTTAATTGAGTGACGAGGCTTCTCTGAAAGTAAAGCTAAGATCAGGAATATAATTAACAGACTGCATTACTGTCTAAATATAGGGTTATGTTTATTGCGCTTTCGCAAAAACACGAAAACGCTCAGTTATTAAATTAATGTAACAAATCTAAGTTGATTGAGATTAATATAGGTTAAAAGTAAGAGACTTAAATGTTGAAATGATCGAGCTTCTCTCTATAAATCATACAGTGCCGTCAATCGAGTTGTAAATGTACTTCATCACGCAACTTCGGTAGCTCTTCAGAGATCGATTACGCTATTGAAGTTCATCTCAGCGGGATGAATTGAAAATTTCCGCGCTTGAAACCTGCCCCCGATGTTCACTTATAACCAGCACGTGTTCCCACTCATATCAATTGAAAAATTATCTTTACTCATACGCCTGAATATTTAGTTAGAAGAAATTGTTGTGGTTCTTGAGATTTGTGACAGAATTTAATTACTTCAGTTAGACAAAATTTGGTTCCTCACAGTGAAAAATATTATTTCAAATTAAGTTGTTATGAGATCTTCCCTTTAAAAGTATTTGTACCAATGTTTACGCTTCCACTCAGCTGCGGCTGCTTATAATTACTTTTAATTACGCCCGACTTTACCAAAATGCATCTTACAAAATTGACTGGGACTGACCAACGAGAATGTGAAACATCCGAGCTCGTCGAGTGCAAGTAAAAAAGGTTGCGCACGTCACCTGATGACGACATGCGGTCGGATGGGCAGAAAACGAAGCGCTTTTGTAGACCTCAAGCCGCGCCAAATGGGACACTTTGCTTTTGTCCGAGTGGTATTTGATCCTGTGAAGCGCTCACGCCACAATAAAACATGAAGGCGCAGATCTTCATGATAGGGAATTAAAATGTCATCAAGCCGCAAGGGGCCACAAATTCACGGCTAAAAAAGAACCCAACAGATGCTGGCCGCAGATATTGTGCCCTGACTTTGAAATCAATTCAACTTACGTTGATCATTAGGTAGCAGAGTTTTGGGTATGAAACGAGAGAAATTGGATATCCTAATGATTATATATTTATTTGCCTCTGAACTTTCACAGAAAAATGAAATTCGATAGTAGCCCAATAAATTAGGCTAATCACAATTAATTTATTTCTACGAAAAATTTGTAAAATTTAGACAAGTCGCCCCCTGTTTTGTAGAGAAGCTATTGGTAATAATAATTAATAATCGCAATAATCATTTCAACACTGAATGAGGAAATTTCGACCGTTTGAGAATATCTGTTAATTTATCTGGCACAAAATCTCCGCAGCTCAGCAAGAAACTAATTTAATATTTACCTCGACTGATATCGGTACATATTTTTATCACGTTATAAATTCATTGTAATGAAGAACCTGTATGTTATTATTATTCGCAATAAATAATAAATTTAACTCAAAATATTTGGTAGATTTCTATGCAATTTTCGGAGCTCAAACCGTCGCTCCGCCCTGGAATAACTGTGGGCGGAGTTTTCTTGAGGCAACGAAGAGTACTCTATGAAAGTTGCCGACCAACTAATGCTCACGAACGCTAACTTTAAATCATACGAAGTGAAAAGTAAAAGTTAAAATTAATGCGAAGAAAAATAAACAACTACAGTAGAAGAGAAGGAATTCTATATTAGTATTATCATCTGAACTGCCGTTATTCCATTTGCCTGCCTACATTGCCATGTGTCGCTTGCGTTCAAAAGTCGTTCACGGTACAAACAAAACCTGCACAGAACCAAAGAATGTTAATAAAATAAATTAGTCTGTGACGTTTTAATCAATCTAATTATTAATAATGACACTAACTCACCGAATTTTGTAGATGTTTCATTAATGCCAAGCCTCCAAACTGCATCAAAAACGCCGGTCGATAGACAACCTCCGCGGCGTACGGGGCGGCCGGAGGCTGCGGGCACAAACGTGTTGTTGTAGGTCCGTTGTTGAGCATTTGTGATTAGTGCGCGGTGCTGGGTGGACGTGTCCGAAGGAAGCTCCTGGATTGGCCACTACTGAAACGAACTCGTGTCTGGTCACATTTATTCATCCGGGAATAATATTTTATGAACAGTTCATGGTAGAGAATTAGAGTTTAATAGTTGCCATGGAACATCGTTCTTGTTCGAAATTTTCGCATTTTATCAATGCGTTTTACATTACGCACTAGAATTATTATTTTTCCAACCATTGAAATTCAACGCGTGTGTCTTACCCTATTTGGGTTCTTTCGTTGAACACGTACAAAAAAATTGCCATGTGCATGAGCTTCATGCATGCGATGCACTCGTATTATTGCTTTCAAAAATATACTCATACAAAAAGAATTAAATATTTGACAAATACGATATCTTGCTTGACCTCTGAGCATGAGTAAACTTTATCAATTTCTGTACTCGTGTTGAACAGTTCAATTTGATTCAACCAGCAGTTCAATTGAAACCTAAGCAGTATAATTCAAATCATCTATATTTTTTGCTGCAGACTAAAGCGAACTAAAGGACTCCAAATAGACGAATCCTGGGGATCTGTATTTGTACTTAATGGAACATTATCAATTTTATAAATAAATTTAATGACTTTTTTAAGCCACTTGATTGAAACATTCCATCACGATGATTTTATTACAGCAGGTCATTAGTTATTAAAAAAAATATTGTCTATATCTGTGCCATTGTACTGATGCATTCAAGTTAGACCATATTTTTGCAGCTGGCCATTTGCAATAAATAACTTGAAAAATAATTTTGTTTACAAAACTTGAGAAGTGTATGGGCTTTTCATTTCAGGGCTTTAATCAACCTGAGGCATTTGTGTGGAGTTAAACGTTTTTGCTTAATGTCCATTTAAATGAATCATAATTTCTTTGTGATGATATTTCAATAAAATGGATTTTTTTGTTCAAGTAAAATTGTGGTTGTTTATTCAATACAAGTTTTTATTGCTGTTATTTTCAAGGAGTTCACCTATGCCATTGCAAATCATATTTAAATTGTATTTCAATCATTTTTCCACATCAACACTGACCAGAATAAAAAAAATGTAACTCAGTACTCACTGCAGTGAGTGACAGAGAGCGCATTTTCTCGTCGACGAAAACTTGAGGTCACGGACGGACGGACGGACAGAAGGACAGACAGACGGACATGGCGAGCATAATAGTGCATTTTTTCCATAAATGAGAAAATGCACTAAAAAGGCAATCTTAATCTTGGATAATAGCTAAAGTGGCACCAAAGCTACCTTAAAATTATTTTTTATTTGCTGCTCCAGAGAACAATTAATTTTTAAATCGTAAGATTGAACAAGTATAAAAATGTTTTGTTGGCTGCTACAGAGAACGCCTCCCGTTCGACCGCTGCTCATCTACCGGAAACGACGACTGTTGGCGCGTGCCACGGAAGCATGCATGACATTCATCATCAAAGACGCATATATTATTTTTATTTAACATTTTTATTAGTCTACATTAGTACACAAAAAGGTTGAGATTGTTGAATTTGATATGTATAATGCATGTATAGATAACTGAAACAACAATTGAAGAAGTTTCCAAACTTACCTTGATTTGTTTTGCATGGTAATTAGATTATCAGTGGGGAGACTGATAGCAGTGCACTAATAGACCGTTTGACATCAATTATCTCACATTATATACAAATAAAAATCGCTCTATCGAGTCCCTCAATCTCTAAGGCTGAGAAATTAACATATGCGAGGCGGAGATAGTGACCCAGGGCTCTTCTGAGATATACTCGTGCGTCAGTATTGTAGCTCGAAAATGGCTCATGTTAATTGTATCGCCTTCTCTATATCATTTGTGACCCTTAAATTTTCGAAGGCTATATAGGTAATGTAGAGTGATGCAGCGAAATTGATTGATAATAAATAAACATTCTTTGCAGATTCCTGCAGGGGAGCATTTATGAAAATATTTTCATGACTCATCTTTTTAGATTAATAAATTTAAGGTTTTAGTTAACTCAAAGTTTGGCATTTTTTATTGTATTTTCATTATGCTATTTGTAATGAAATGTTATCAATAAATTCATATTTCCAGATCATATTAATGGTAAAGAATTTCAACAGATATCCTAAAATGATGTAATTCGTTTCAACAGAACGAATTGCCAAGTAGACTTTCATTTCGATGCAGTTGAAATTTTAAAGACATATTGAATGAAATTAAGTAGGCACTGAACGCTAACAACTTCAACGTCAGATTATTTTTAAAGATATTATTTCGTTTTACTGAAGAACTTTTCAATTGGAAATTCTGTGTTAAAATGAAAAGAGATTTACAACAAGTCTGGGTGAGCCCCACGAAGCAGTCCCCTGATAAAGCTGATAAATTCCTTAACCATGGAGACAATATCTCCCGCCATCACAACAGATTAGGCTCCAAGAATTCTCCAATAAAATCGAGCGAGGTTAAAAGTTCTGATGACCATATGACCTCAAATTTTCACAAGGAGTATGAGAAGCAAAATTTAACTTGGCAGGAAACGAGTCGACGATCGACGGCGTTGAGGATTAATTCAACGGATGACAATCTTATTCACGTTAGAGGCCAAGACCAACCGAGTAAACTACAAGAAAGGAATTGCTCGCGACCAGGGAACAATTCATTCAAATGTGGCCTTTACGACGACGATTACAACTGGAATGGAAGAAGACCTGACAGTCAAATCGAAGCTCGAACCACAGCGACAACTCCTCCAACGCCACCAACAGTCCTTGATCAATTCAACCACTCTGTTTCTCCTTACAAGTTTGACATCCAGCAAGTGCCTCAGTATCCATCGCCTTGCACTCCTCAACGTCAAAACAGCGGATCGTTCCAGCCATCCCAACAGATTGTTCCAAGTCTGGATAATGGCCTGGAAATACATGCCACTCCTCCGAGGCCTTCAACGCCAACACACTCAAATCCCAATGTTCCTCTCACGGTACCTCCAACTCCTCCATACCACAACGATATTCCACAAAATTCTAACATTTCATATCCACCGCTTTACTCCGAGTACAACAATTATTCTTGTGCGAGTGCTCAACCTCCAGCAGGTAATCAAAATCATTCACGGGAACCTGAGCCTCCAAGCCAGCATTCATACCACCCGAACAGCGAAGGCTATGTTTACTCGTCAACCCAAACAGCCTACCCCAGTGGCTGCACGGTCGTGCGGGACAACTTCAGACAAAACTCCATCCCCGAGGAAGATACCGGCACCTATGCCCAGATTATGGGTGGTGGTGGAAGTCTGGAGTCCGGCGTTGAATGGACGTGGAGCTACCCCATCAGAAATGCTACTACTGAGCAGGTCTGTTTCATATTTTATGGAAATCTCTAAGAGCTGTGTTTAGATTTGATCAATATTGTAGAATTTTATTCAGTTGACAACACGAAAAGGACAAAAATTTACGAACCGAAAAGAGATCAAGAATTTTGACAAACATATAAAGTGCGTCTGAGACTGTGGCCGTAAGAAAATCCTCCTTGAACCCTAATTGTTTGGCCAAAAGGTATTTAAAGAAGAAATTTCTCAAATTTTATTCCATTTGCATAGCAGCTCAGGTGACCCGAAACTCACTTAATTTTTCAAAATTCTTATTATCAACATCAGCCCAATCATTTTTCTGAGATATGCTTCCAATTTTATTTCTAGATCAAATTATGTATCTTAGCTGTAACCCAGCCCACTCGAAATTCAGTCCCCTCTCGGAAGCACTTGAACGCCACCCTCCATAACACAGTGTTCCCTAACTGCTCCTAATGTGTACTCAATTGACCCTCGCGCTCTCCTCCCCTCATACGAGTAGGGATCTCTTCGTTCCCAACGGCCCAATCGTCTCATAGTCCAGCAACAGCACCTAGTGAATTATACTGTGAATAAATTGCGGCTGAAACAGGGGCATATACAGAGATTTATAAAATAATTTCTAATAATTACTAATTGAAACTGAATCAATTTCATCATATTTATTTTGTTTAACTTAAAAAATAAGCATGACGCTAAATAAACTGAAACGCTCCAGACGCTAATTAACCTAACTCTTCATCGGCGAGTGATGCATATGGTATATAAATAAGCTTTACGGTTGTACCCATATTACCTTGAAATCTTAGTATGATAAAATATTTCATCAGTTTGAGGCAAATATTTATGAATTGCGACGATGTCAACACATAATTCACTGAATATTCTGGCCATGCAGCAACAATATGACCTTCTCATTGCTGTAATTTTGTTGTTGGAAAGTTGTTTTGGTGTTTTTTATAACAATTGATTAACTTTCAAATTATAAAATGTTAACTTACAAGACCGAAAATATTGGTTTTATACAAATGTAAAACTATTTTTGTGTGATCTAATAGTCATTATTAGATTTCAATAAACAGAAAATAATGCAAACTCCAGATTTTTCAATCAAAAAGAGTTGTTTATCTAGTTTTAACAAGCTTTGTATTCTATTCCTAGTTGTGAAGTCAATATTAAAAAAATACTTTGAAAATTCGAGCATCAAATTGTAGATGCAAAAGAGATGACGCGCTACATAAGTCTACGGTACCATATGGTCAGATTTCATTAACTCGACCCGGCTGAGTGAGTCGAATACGATATTGCCGAGTCATCAAACTCTTATTGGATATCTTGTAGGTTGAGAAAAGCCATAATAAATGAGGAGAGTAATTACTGTTGGATAAATTTCAATTGAAATTGATTCACTGCGTTTCAGTTATTTATTTACTCTGAAAAGCTTCTTGTCTTACCTATCACATTCATTTAACTGCCTCATTTTTTAGAGTGTTTCCTATGAATCTGCTGGAGTTTCTTCATGTTAATCACGAAGCATTCAAATTGGCCGGTCCAAAATCATCATATGATATCACCTCGCCAATAGTTTGATAATTCATCAGATTTATGCTCTGTGTGATGTCAAAAAATCTTTACAATAAAAAAATAAATATTTAAAAATATTGTAATTCAATTACAAAAGTAATGATGTATTCGTAACAAATAAAAGCAACAATATGATTCAGATAAAATAGTTTTTATTCGCCAAGAATACAAAAGCAAAGAAAATCCCAAGAGCATTCATCATATCTGCATAGGAAATTTTTGGAAACCGGCGCCATCATTAGTTTAGAAATTAAAGAGAATCCTTCTGGATACAACCACGAGGAAAAATCCCCAGAGTAAATTTTTTATTTGGTCACATACGAGATTTTAAAAGTATAAATATTATCTCACTATTTATACGTGAGATCTCAATTAACAGTCATGATGAATTCTAAAACAAATATGCAGCGCCATAAGAAATCAAAATTTTTTTCATATCGTCGTATATGAGTAGTGAATTCGAAAACAAATATGAAGCGCCATAAGAAATCAAAATTTTTTTCATATTGTAGTATATATGAGTAGAAATATATAAATATTATCGTGTACCACGGAATCATCATTATTTATTTAATTTCTGGCAGGCAATCACTTCGCAGAATTCAACGGGCGCCACCAGCAAAAGAAACAGCGGCCGCCTGAAGCGCAAGCGTCTGGATAACGGCTACGCTGGATCGTTCGGACTGAGCAGCGGCAGCGAGTCGCTGGGCGGCAGTACGGTGAGGCAGCGACATGCTGCCAACATGCGCGAGCGACGCCGTATGGCTAACATCAACGATGCCTTCGAGGGGCTCAGAGAACATATCCCCACCATGCCCTACGAGAAGCGTCTCAGCAAGGTGAGACGTTTTATTAGTTTTATTCAGCATTTATTGATGCTTAACAAATCAAATTTGAAGACCGTATCGAAGCAAGGTTGCTGTAACAGCAACGATGGATTTAACAGAAGCTCATCCCTGCTGTAGCTTCCTGGTCGCGTCGTCTATCAATTTGAGAAACAAGAGATGATGTTTTAGTTGTACGATAAATTTTAATTAAGTTTTTTAGTAAGCTTCTATTTAACGGCAATCAGCTCTGGACGATAAAAATCCCTTTATTACAACACTTCTCTATAACTTCACTTCTTGTTTGTTTGTCTGCTACAAATCTTATAATAAATATTTAACGCACTTCTACCTGTCAAATCAATCTGAAATTTTGCACAATTGCGTAAAGTTGCAAATAATGCTTGAATCAATTGGCAGAATAAATAATTTTACAAAAATTTGTACTTTAAATATAAATGAAAATTATTTAAATTTTTCATATTTAAAATTCAAACGGTCTTGACGGTCATTACTATTTAAAAGTAAAAAAAAATCATTGTTCATTAGTCACATCGGAGACACTGGCTTCTTTAGAAGTGTTGTCTTTAAAAAGTAATTTTTAAACGCATATTATTTTTCATTTTCTCTGGCAAAGTAATTCGAGCAAAAATGTTTACTGATGACTGCAGGTTGACACGCTGCGCCTAGCCATCAGCTACATTCAACACCTGAGCGGGCTGGTGACGGAGTGCGACGGCGGTCTCAGCGCCGGCAGCGACTGTGATGCCGGCGGCGCCCATCACTCAGTTAATAAAGTTTTCGTCAAGACCTCCAGTATTTTAGGTGGGTACTGAGCAGATGTCATACTGAGTTACTGGACGACTAAAAATGCACCTAAAGGATATATCTTTACTTACGTACTTGCCAACTTCATATGATCAGTTATGAAGTAAAACGATCAGACCGAGAACACCTCAAAATGAAACTGTCATATTAGAAAATCATTTGGGAGGTTGTATAAAAGCAAAGTTATCCTGATCAGATGAAAATCTGTCACAATCTTGTATTAAATATTTACCAGTAAAATTATCTCTTAATACTCTTGACCCTAAGGAGAGTGTGACGAAGATTTCGGAGGCAGTGGAGTGACGCAACTGTCGTGGGCTTGTCAGGACCAGTCGGTGGTGTCGGGCCGAGTGGCAGCTCCGGTGTGGACCCCCATGGACACGCCTTCATAGTCGCGCTATCCGATTGCACTTAGTTCGAAATTCTGCATAATTCTTTACTGCACAATTGACCGGATTTGCGTCTGATGGATCAAATTATGCACAATTTTTTACTGCATAATTGACCGGATTTGCGGCTGATGGATCAAAATTATGCACAATTTTTTACTGCATAATTGACCGGATTTGCGGCTAATGGATAACAGCCGAACGATGTCGATTGAAATAATCAATTGAATATGAAAAATGTATCAAAATTTCATTATTGTAGATTTTATGATCATTCTGTTTTTCGAAAATTAATTTTTCGAATCTAAGAATCGGATATAAATCGAGACAATTGATCTAAATATTAGATAACACCAATATAGTGACTTGAGATATCTGCCTTTTTGAAAATGTGCACGGAAATATTTGTTTCAAACCAAATACTTTAAAATGTTGAAGCATATATGAGATGTATAACAGAGTATCAAACACATAAATTTATCTTATATTAAAAGATGGCATTAAATATTGTTTAATGTTGTCATGAGGAGGTTTTCCATAAATTCACTTGTGCCTTCACGCCTACATGATCTGAACAACATTCACGTCGAGCTATCGCAATTCTTTAACAAGCTCCATTGAGTTCAAAATAATTTCCCTGAATATAAATTACTCATATGAAACTCCTAGATCAGAATCATACAGTATGAATATACTTAATTATTGTCGTTGATTTCACAGCTGCCTTGTTAAATTACTGTTGTGGCATGATCGTGTTCACCGACTGCTTGGCACGACTAACGATTATTGCGAATTACTTGCGAATTTGATCTCGATGTCATACAGCTTCTTCATCACTAACAATCAAATTTTTTTTGTGGATCATGAAATTGATATACCATGTAAAATCGTGCTGATCCCTTTCTTCCTAAGCGTACAGAATGCAGATGTCAGGCGCTATCATATTATGAAATCGAAAAATATAAATCGAAAGACAATTATATCATTAATTTAAATCACCGTCTTTCCAAAATAGAAATGATTTATACCAGGTGTACAAAAATTCTAACATGTGAATAGAATATTGTTCGTAACGCAGTTTGACCCAAAATAGATCATGAAAAGAGATATCTGTTCATCTTAAATTATTTAATGTGCCTTATAAACTCCGAGATTCTTTCATTCCCTCATTGAAAACGGAGCTTAGTCATGCACAAGTTCAAATGACATATAAAGCTAGAAATATGCAAAGACCAATCAGATTAGAAATATTTAATATGTAGTTAGGTTATCTTCATGCTCAAATAAATGTACCTCGTTAAGTGATCATTTCATGATGTGTAGGATTTCGATGACGGATACAAAAATCCAAATTGATAGCATTATTAGGCTGAGAGAATGTAAATAGTAAATACGCAAATGAAGTTTATATAAACTAGTCGGGAAGCTGCTCAAATATTGCCTCGCACGTAAGTTTTTTGTAGGTGTTGAGAATCTATTTTAAATATTAGCTTATTGATGAGCCTCCCACGCGGGCCGGGTCACCCATAATACACTTTTAATTAATTTTGTGTTTTTTATCCTTCACGTACGTTTGGGTGCCCATAGATACAAGTGTACATTTTTTCCATGTGTACACCGGTAACATTAATATGTTACCAGTCATATGTTACCTTTTGGGAAATGCACCTCTTACCAAATTTTTAGATTTTTTCATCTTCTTATAGCAAATGGACCGATTATCAGTACAGCAAAAGGGTTGTTTCAGAAACCACTTGAATGCGTGTTATCAAAAGATATAATGGTCATAGAAAAAAATAACCAATTTAAATTTAGGTTGACTTGATGTTCAATTTATTTGTTTGATAAAGGCATGCAATCAATCATTAAATTTGCGGATAAAGGAAGCTCAACCTGACACCACCGTAATGAAAGTGGAATTTCAAAAGTTGATCAGGACTTAAGCATACATTTCACACTTTATTGCGAATTTAAAGCTGAAGCCATTCTTAGTTTACCTGTACTAAAATGTGACCAATCTTCAATTGTCTATGCGTCAGGTAAATGTGAACTACTCCGAAAATATTATAGTCGATGAATAATTATTATTAGGAACAGATGGAACACTAAGATTATGTAGAATGCTATCCCAGACGAAAGAAAAATCGAATGATTTTAATTGATGTATCAGAGGCCAGCTGATGTTTTAAGGCCTCTCCATTAAAACTAATGATTTCAGCACCTACTAATAGCCAGCGGCATACATGTCCGTCCTAGTTTAAGTGCACGCACGTGCTACCCACTACTAGCCTCCGCGTGGTCATTATTCTCAAGAAAAGACAAGCAATCGATATTGAAGAAGAAACGCAGACAATTCATAACGCCCAGGGAAACCACGCAGGACGCACGCGAAGGCATGATTCGTTTACGCTTAGCGAGACTGCTAATGCTATTCCTACGGCGTTCCCGAAGCTGGTGAAAGTTCGGTCACGCTCTGGGTCTTGCTGGGAGGCAGGGGTGAAAAGTAACACGTCAGGTGTGAGCCAAGTACTATTCATGACGTCACGCTCGACGCCTCACGATGCTCCTCTATTAACGGATGCGCAGATCAATGGTAACGATTTATTGATCTTCTTCAACACCTAAGGATCTATATCATACTCTTATGGATTCCGATAAAAGAGAAAAATTACGCGGTAGATCGTCCCAAACCGCTAATTTGAAGGCCAATTCTAGGTAATTTTACTTGGGGGAAGGAGTGACATCCTGCATTTTCATTGTGGAGGTGTATCTTCGAACTAATATTTCTGTACAGAAAGATATTAATACACAGTTTCAATGTTATTCGTACATATGCTCTTCAAAATATGGTTAAATTCTAATCATTAATTTCCTTTCAATTTTACATAAAGATTGTAATTTACGACAATTCTTTTTCTAGCGCTTACGCTTGAATTACAAGGCATCACTTCGTTACGGAGGAGCATGGAGGTTGAGTTTATAACCCAATTAGTCAATGAGCTTTGGCTTTGTCAAGTCAAAAAGGTACCCAATCACACATATAATTTAACTACTAGCTTCTTTCGATTTTTGAATAGTATTTAGTCATGTTAGTTCCAGGTTCCAGGCGAAATTTCATGCCGGAGACTTGGACGTAAACTCGAAATATTTTTAAAAACACCCGAAAAAAGTTTGTAACAGGTAAGTCTAAATTTCGACCGTTGCAAAAATTAATCATATTAAAACAAATAACTGTTATGTATTAATGCTCAATTCCTAATTAATGTGAGCGTATATATCATTCGATAGTCTTCTGTGGGGATTCAGAAATAAGAACGATTGAAAGTGTTAAGTGATTAAAGAATTACAATGAAACTGACGGCAAAACGTAAACGATTTGCGAATATACACACCGAGTTAACAAAGTTTTATGATATAAGCATGAACGAAGAGACGGAAAATTAAACTGAAAAGCGAAAAGCGTTCCTGCCTTTGTTGGTATAGAAAATTTACCAAGGCCAGCAGATATTGAAGAAGCAAATATTATAGCACTCTTTCTCACATTTTTTGGGGGAAAATGTTGTTATTAACTCACATTCAATCCTGGACAAAAGGAATAATTCGCATGAGCTAGATTAGATGTAAGAATACCATCACGAAGTGTAATAAGTTAAAACTGGCGCCTCCGTTAATTAAGGCAGATGTTGCGGCCGGAGCTTCACTCGAGCAACCTCGCATGTGTCACATCACGCACTTTCAAAAACCCTTAACTCGTTCTCGAGCAAATGGTCGGCATTAATCGTACAAGACAGGCTTCTTCATGAGCTATTACGCCGAACTATCAATTTGACGCAGGAAACAAAAGGTCTAAGTGCATTAACAAGAAATTATAAGCTGGGTAGCACGGGCGTGGTGGAAGGGTTTCACGTCAGTGATGGACTGGGATCGGTATCGGTAAATTTCGGCCCAAAATGTGCGCTGGCGCGCGAAGAAACTAAATGTGCACGAGAGTTTCGTTTACCTGGAGGCTCATAACCACGTCCCAGCCGCTCGTGCTACCGTTTAATGGGCTTCTGTAACGCTCGTGCTGATTAATTGCATCCAGGATTCTCCAAAAATATTAAATCCTTGGGTGGCCTTTGATCGCAGAAATTACCCGAGTTATCAGGCAACGTTAATTGTGGAATAGTTGTTGGATACAAAGTGTATAATAGAAATTAAACTGATTTGGTTTTTGATTCGACTTTATAATTTGTGAATTGTCATCGTGAATTGAGAAACATTTTGGAAGTTTAAAAAATGCGAGCAAGCTTGACATAGTTAGACATTCATAGTTTTTTCCGATCATAAATCAAGTGACGGACCCAAATGCGCGATTTTCAGCCCTGCACGCTATTGTTACTACACTCAAATTTTGATAGTAGATTTCAAAATCTACTGCATTCAAATTTTATCGACTTTCATTGATAAGGGAGTTTTTGATACAATTTCTAGACTATTTCACTCCACTATTAACTTGAATGAAATCAACTTCTCCACTATCATATACAGTGGGGGGAAATATATATTCGTACACTTGAAAAATCGTATTTTAATGTATGTAAGTACACAAACTTAACAGGAAAAGTGATTTAAATTATGTATAGAGACGCATAGTATTCAAAAATACTATCTAAAGAAATTAAATCTCAATGCAACAAAAAACAATGCAACATGTTCACTTTTCGGGTGAAAAAAGTATTCGTACAAAACAATAAATCAATTAAAATAATGCGGATTTATTGTTTTGTACGAATACTTTTTTCACCCGAAAAGTGAACATGTTGCATTGTTTTTTGTTGCATTGAGATTTAATTTCTTTAGATAGTATTTTTGAATACTATGCGTCTCTATACATAATTTAAATCACTTTTCCTGTTAAGTTTGTGTACTTACATACATTAAAATACGATTTTTCAAGTGTACGAATATTTATTTCCCCCCACTGTAGAATAGAAGTGATAATGGACAAGTTTTTTAATGTTGTCACAAAACGCAATTTTACGTTCAAGTTGTTACAAATCAGGACTTTTGTTTTCAGTAGATAATTTTCTCACGAAAATATGATTAATGAATCCAGACAACGTTAATTCATACAATATCAGCGGACGGAATTCAATAATACGAAATATTACCATTTTTGGTGCGAATGAAATGAAACGCAAGCAACGGATTCCTTAGATTACTTTGGTTTTAGCTTATGGGTAAATTTTGTACGATTCGTACCTTCTTGGTTTTCAGAAAATTGGCAAATTAGTAAATTAGCCCCTTCCTCTATCAATAATTATGGCAAGGAATTACTGATTTTTAAAACTTTTTGAAGAATTTAGCAAAACCTAAGGGAGAAGGTGCCCTTCTGCTTAGAGCGAATAAATTATAAAAACATAATAATAATAATACATGATTGCATTAACAAATGAACAATAACTTTATTATTATTAATGTCATAAGTAAACATAAAATGTTCAGTTTACCCAAAAATAAATAAAAACAACACAACTGGCTCCGATAATGAGAAATGATAACTGGAAATGCAATTCATAATATTAAACAGTTTTAGAGCTCCTGACATCAGACGTACGCCTCGAATTTTAGCCTGCCATCTGACCAAGTGTCAAAACTCACTCACTCCCGGCCAGCTGTTCACGCACAAAGTTTTTATTAAGAGGACGATAATCTGGCAAAAAATTGACTCCCTGAAACAGTTAAGAAATTGAATCTTGTTTCTGAAAGAATAATGAAAGTGATATAAGCTAAAATCATTTTGAATTATTATTAATTGATTAATAATATAGTATCAACATATCTATCAATTATTATTTAATTATTCCATGCCTGAAATGTAAAATTAACGTATCTAATTTTATTCATCACTTGAGTATAGTCAATCAATTAATAATTCATCACAGTTTTGATGCATTAGAGTGACAAATATATGCAGGACAAGCATTACGGCTACGAACGTTCGCAAACAAGGGCATTGGTGGAAAACATTTGCTAAACAAGCATTCAGGCAGCGACAATATTAGCAAAACAATCATTCTGGCGTCGACTCTTTGCATTACAAATAAAATCGGTTCATATTTACCAACTTAATACTGCATAATTGTCGGGGTCCTCTTCCCACTAAAAGTGGAGCATACATGGTGGCTACCCAGTTCAAAGTCAAGCGGGCCAGAGTTTATCTGAACTGAGGAGGCAGCAAGGAATTGGTCCAATGCTGAGTGACTTGCAAATGGCGATAAAAAAAATACATACAAACGCGGCTTTGTTTGACAAGCGGATAGCTGCACAAGGAGTGATTTACATTTAAATCACGGCAGATGGAGTTCCGAGGATTAATGCATGAAAAATATTCATGAGGACGTAGAATAAAATAGAAGTGTCTGCACCGAATAAATAGGCCCATGGCCTGTTGCCTATTCTTGTACTTTTCGTGACTTGATTCACAAGGGATCCGGCCTTTGGAACACGATCTTTCCATAGCTGACGATTGATTGAGATATCTGCTGAACTTATTGCCTGGTCCGTAAGTTGCTAGGCATTTCATGACTGAACATATGCTCCTGCATAGCTTCGTCTAGTCTTTTCTTGAAGGCGTTCAGACTCGGAGCGTCAACGACGCTCTCAGGGATGCTATAACATGATCATGCTATAGAACAAACATGACCAAATAGATCATGTTAAAATGACCTCAAAGATTGCTTACAAAAAATTCTGGACCATGACCCAATTTCCGGCCATGCATTGCCTATATCTATCAGCACAAGATATTCTTTGTTGTAATTATGTACCTACAGGAGCATTCCTCTAAAGCCACCCGCTCTACACTATTTGTAGCTCATATATATATCATGGGAATTACCACTCTCGTAGTTCTGTTTCTGTGATGCGGATTACAGTATAAGTTGCAATGGACCAAAGCAGCGTCTGCGTTGAGAGTTTTTCATAAGTTCTAAGTTACAAGGAATTGCAGAGAGACGCACGTTTGGGCAGCATCAGGATGACCGATTCGAATCTGAAAAAATTCCCCCCGCAAAATACTGATATTATCTACTTATATTTCAAATTTGAATAAAATCTGTTCATAATTGAAGGAGTTATGAGTGCCACAGTTGAAAATGAAGTTAGGTTTTGCATTCGAGCTCGCAGGCGAGTTCGCTGAAGTGTCGAATCGGTATCAGGGTGGACGGCAACAAGCTAAGCAGCTATGTAAGCAGAGGTTCATGGGTGTGCTTCCAGACTTTCCAGTTTGCAACCGTTGCTTTTCAGAAGAGCGATGTCCTGTGATTACGTTTCCTTTAGTATTCCAAAAGAGGTTTTCCGATTTCACGAGCTGCACTTAAACTTCCGAGCAAAAACATTGAACGGATATATGCAGGCATTTATCACGTATCACGTTGACTGTCATATCATGACATGATGACATCAAGTGACAGATGTTTGTAAAACATTTAGGAGGAATATGGAGCTGTATGGAATATGGAGCTGTTGGGCAAAGTTGAGCCTGATGGTGTTGAATTGACAGATTTTGCATGGAATCTTCGTTTTTTAAATTTAATGTCATATAACAGACTATTACGCAGTAAAACCGGCAAATTAGTAGACTTTGGTAGTGGTTTTTGGTAAAAAGATCATTGACAAGCCAAACGAGCGACTTGCTTCAACTGCATACGTTTTCCATCAATTTTTCACCGCAGCTATGCGTGCTCGTTCATTGAACAAGATCTACACAGTACGCAAAACACTTCTTTCATATCATAAAACTGTTGGAGAGCTTGCAAAACCCATATTTAAACTATTAACGATCACAAAAACCTCCTATTACCTTTAGCAATCGAAATCTGACCATTTAAATAAAATTATGAGCAAATACCAAAAAATATAACTCAGTACTCACTGCAGTGAGTGACAGAGAGCGCATTTTCTCATGGACGAAAACGTGGTCACGGACGGACGGACATACAGACGGACGGACATGACGAGCACAATAGCGCCTTTTTTAGATGAAATATCAGAAATATCAGAGAAAGTAGTACAGCTTCTTCTGAAATGAATTAACCATATTGGCATTAGTTTTATGTTGGCATGGTTATTTTCATTTCACATGTAAAATTATTGAGCGTATTTTATTATTCATCCACTTGATAAAAATTCATCCAATTAAATTTGCGACTTTTATTGTAATCTCCGCCTGCCGAAAGTCTAACTTATCGTACAATTTAAGGATACCAAAGAAAAATATAAAAAATCATCTAGCTGTAGCTGAATGACTTCAAGCGTGCGGTTAAAATAAAATTGGCTAACTTTAATGTGATAAAATATTATCAAGCTAATGATCTTCCCCAATGATATAGTTACTCCAGCGATTAAAATATTGATAGACAGGCGAACATATTTTTTATTTGATGCGTTTTTCCATGGTTACATTATCGATTGCGATGCGAGGTAAGGGTGAGGATAAGATTGGCAGTGGATAACTCACCTCTCGAAGAAATGGGTCCACCAAAGGCTTACTCCTTGATAAAGCTGGTCTCAAGTGTTCATGTTCTATTAAAAAAGAATGGATTTCAAAACGTGTATTATCATCGAAGTGGAGCGAAGATTATTTGAACGCCGATTTCGCCTTAACAATAGTTGCACACGAAGACTCCATGAGGAGCCTGGCTAAGCTGATGGGTAGGATTTATTAACAAATAATGACAGGAATTGTTTCGAGCTCCAACAGTAGGCCTTAAAAAACCGCAAGTCCAGCGTTCAATTCTTCGGGATTTGTCAGCTGTGAGAATTTTAGCTCTGGATTTCAAACTAATGCATTTCGAAACTAATGCGCTTATTACTTGGCTCGTTATCATCCTTTTCAACGAATAAATTTGCGAGTTCTTCTGTCAGGGCGCTCATGTATGTTCTTTGAACCGGCGTTAGACAAGGAAATTTTATTTAATTGTTACCATGACCGTATTACCGTGTCGATGAACCATCATACACAAATTTTGAAATCAATCGAATGCTGAAGTCAGAATCTTCTTCAAAATGAACTCCGACGGTTATGACTTCTACAACGTACAATGAACGAATTCTCGGATTATCCAAAGGACTCTCGGATTATCAAAAGTGTAGCCCAGCGAAGATAGAATAGATATTATGGTACAATAAAGGATAATGAAAATTGCATCGATTACTTGAACTATAATGCAGCTATAAATAAGAGACAATGCTTCATCCTCCGATTCAAAGTATTATAACGGAAAATTATACGTCCTACAAGATATTAAACTGAGACTATCTATTCTCTTATTTTGAAGTGGCAACAGCAATCCTCATACTAATTAACTAAATACACTTATAGCTTCAATCATCTTCAGATCGCGATGAGGTCAGATAAATCAATCGAGTCAGTTGCACTGATATTTAGTTTCCAACAATGGTATTGAGCGATCAAACAATTTCTAACTGTCATTTTACAAAAAAAAAAAAACTTTGCAAGCAAATACCAGTGCCAGCTGTGAAATCGTCAATAACGTTACACATAAAACGGTGAAATTTTTTATCCACTGGGACATTCCTGAACAGAACTGTCTCGCATTGAAAGAAAGCCTTTCATAAAAGTTCTGGTTAATACAGGTCTATCTACTTTCAGCATTCTGCAACCGACGTGCAGGTGGATACGAGAGAAAGGATCAAACTTTTCCCAATGATGGGTAATGCATGTCCTAGGTACACCAAGATACACGCCAGTCTACGTTGAGATTGAATTTTAACTTTACTTATTACAACTAAGAAATTTCGCAAGAGGTGGTTGTATATTGGTATTTTAGCGAGCTGCATAAGGACCAGTTCCCTGGGCGGGGAAGCCGCGGTTCCGGTCAGCGTTGTAGTTCGAGGGATGATTCCATCCATGTGCTCCAAGCTCAGTGCCCCGCGCGTCGCTGGGATAAGGTTGATAGCCATGAGGAGTGTGAGCAGCAGGACCGACAGCATGTGCACGAGGATCATAATGAGGGCCTGGATCGCGAGTTGGGACAGGACCTGGACCCTGAGGGGGGTAACGCCCTAAGCCCCCAGCATAGGGATCAATAGGTGGTGCCAGTCCGTTCCTTTCTGTCTGCCAGGAAGGAGCTGTAGAATAGCCTGTAGTTGGCCGAGGAGTTTCGCCGCCGATTGGCCGGGGAGTTGCCACTGCGGCGGCTGCAGCAGCGGCAGAAGAACCAGGCGTTTGCTGGTTGTTCAGGAGCTTAAGGCCAACTTTTAGAGCCTTCAAAGTGTTCAGCTTCAACTCTGCTTCCATCAGCAACTGCACGAATATATAAATAATCTAATTAGATACCTGAGCGGACAATATAGCATCTGATAAGCACAGAAATTAAAGTTTTGCTACGCATTAGTTTTCAAGTTGTATAATAATACACGTATCGTCCTTACCTTACCTTTTAAAACAAGAATATTCAAGATGTGTTTATGTTATTGGCAACTTTCGATGTTTCGCACACATTTGATATAATCCACGCACAATGCAATACGTAAATATTGAAAAAAGCGTACATTACGAATTTTCCAGTTTTAATCGGGTAATTTTACACGAATTTAACGTACCGCAACCATCAAATAAATGAAGATGTTTAGATACAAGGAATTTTAGATCAGTTATCCCAAAAAAGTTTTGTCATAATTTCTGTCATAATAATTTTTTTGTCATAATTTTCCTACATAATTGCAGTGAGCAGCAGAACGCTCACAATAAAAACGAACTTCTATCCAACAAACGTGCGACAGGAGAGAGCATCTCACCTCAGCAATTTTCTTCTCGCCCTTCTTCATGTTGTACTCGCGCAAGGCGCTGGCGAGAGACGTGATCACGTTCAAGGCGAGGTCCGAGTCATCCTCGTCTTTGATGTAGCACGAGGCCTGCAAGCAGAAAACATTAAAAATAAACATTCTAGTCATGCATTACAATTAATACATTCGGGTGAATGCCGTAGAATAATAGATTAATGGTGAATCTGAACGTCCAATCTTCTGTACCGTATTCGTGAATATGGGAGAAAATGCTAATTAGTATTGAATAAAATAGAGATAATAGAATATAAGAATAAGTAAAATTGTCTGGAATAGTTGAACAATCCCTAGTTTCCGAAAATTTTTCTAACTGAGGTTACTTCAGAAACGCTTTCAATAAAAAAAGTATGATAAATCGTGAATAGTAGGCAAGCAGACAACAAGAAATTGAAGAAACCAACATTTATCAATGAAAACCATGAGCGGTATAAATAAAATTACATTTCATGAGAAAACTAACCAGTTTGGTGAGCAGGAGCCCTGCCGTGCCACCGCTCAGCTTATCGGTAGGAACTGCAATACGAGTGGATACCCCGGGACTGCAAACAAAGAAATACATGCAACATAAATCTTTTCTGAATGGTTGACGAGATAACATCCGACAGTAAACTGGTACGACGAAGATAAACAATAATATTTACCAAAAGTACAATAACGCGAAGGCGTGTAAGGTTTTGTGATTTATTTAAGTCACAGAAACTTCTACAGAGGTAGAATACTTATTGAAATACAAGGTCTACCGTTTATCATTGACAGCCAGCAACAAGAATATCACGCATCACCTTTGCTCACGGTGAACGGGGACATCTCGTCTCTCAACAGGTGCTCTGGGTGGCACGTGAGCCTCACGACGTGGCTCAACATCGTAGCCAGGTCCATTTCTCCCCATATATTCAGGGTCGGGACGACGAGGTTCAGCATCAAAGCCAGGACCATTTCTCTTGAAATGTTCTTCGTCAGGACGACGAGGCCCAGCATCATAACCAGGACCATTTCTTCGGAAATGCTCATTCTCTGGATAGCGTGGTGGGCTGTATCGTCTGTTTGGCGGACCAAAATCATCTCTATAATATCCATCCCGTTCATCAAAGACAGTCACCGGACCAGTGGGCAGGACGCAGCTGTCACGTGGATTACCTCGCCGCCGCGGGGCTCTGCCGCGGACTGGTCCTCGGAAACGTTCCCCACGACCTCGACGGCCGCCGTCCACAGGAGACCCTAAACAAATAAAATAAAGATGATGTTGACCAACAGAGCATACAAGTTCGTAACGAGCAACATCATAGATTTTCACTAATCCATCATCATACAACTTCATTGAAATTTCGGGTAAATTACGAGCATTAGCAGGGCGATGAACTCAGTCGGAAACAGCGAATTAACAAGTCTTACAATTAACATAGTCATATAAAAATATCGAAACAAAGAAAATTTCCTTTTGAAAATTTTCAGCTCAAGTATTGCGCAAAATAACGAAAAGCGCAGTAAAGACGAAGGCAGATAAGAGGCCGCTTTACCGCGATCCACCGTCTATGGGATTTATTCCCATATTCCCAAGTCTTCGAGCATTAACTTCCCGCATAAATAAGATAGAAGTCTGAAATTTCGTATACAATTGAAAGAAAAAATTTGCATTCGAAAAATTTTCATGGGAAATTAGTTTCGCACGTCGATGCTCGTGAAGAAATGCTTGCTGTTGCAAGTGCGAGGGTTTTACTATTTATCTCAAATTTACCGGTATACCATGCATTTCTAAATCAGAACCCATTTAGAAGAGAAATAAACCTGAACCTATCGTTAATTGAAATTCCCGTGTATTAATAAAAAAGATGGGATCAGTTTTCATTATTTAAAGGGGATCAGGGAATGTGCATATAGTCGGTCTAAAACCGTCTGCTGCCGGCCGATGGCCGATTTTTGAGGTGGACGGGAGCTTACTCACGGGGAAAAAGTGAAAATAGATGGCCAGCGGTTGGCTAGTACAAAAAAGCTCTACATGGTCGGTGGCTTTCCACCGGCCACCTGAAAACCGCCCGTTTCCTCAACAAATCTCAGCAAAAGAAATGTGGCTGTTATGGTTACGATATTACGGTGAGATAACTACTAAGATTGGCAGTTTATTTGGTTTTACAGCGTTGTCCCGTTAATGCTGTGTCACTGAGTTCATGCCTCGCTGATGCAGAGCATCAAGTCCCTACTACACAGCTGGAGCTTCAGGTTCTTCTGTAATTATTATCTACTACCAACTTCACGGAATAGGAAATCCCTGAGAATTGACAATTTGGTAATACCGAATCCCCTTACTGAGTTAATAGGAGGAAAACCCGTTTTAACAGACAATTAAGAAAGAATTCTCATTTAAATCCAAATCTGAAGCCAATCCATTATTTTTTAGAACCTTGATGATACCAAACGAATTTCGGATTCATAAAATGTCCCTATGCTATAGGTACGTATGTATAGGTAGTGGATACTAGGTATATGTACCTATTTACAATATGAGGCTTCATGCAAACGCACACAAAATTTTCATAAATGTACAATAGGTTTTATACATACGTGCAGGTACTTCATCAACATGAATAATATACTCACTTGATCGCATGCGATCCCTCCCAAAGGGGCTGCGATCACGACCAGCAGGTGTAAAGTTCCTGAAATAGAATGATAAAATTATTTCTCAATAAACCTAATAAACACTCTAAAGAAAAATGGCACAACCTGATCATGGATGTTCGTATAACTCCACAACAAAATTACGCGACAACTATATCTTCACAGATGGTCGAAGACCAGATTAATTTCCACCATCTAGTGGTGTTTCGACGAATAGAAACAGGAGCTACCGAGCATGGTTAAATTCATCATGTTTGCACATGTGACATTGATTAGGAAGAAACAACCCTTCAAATGGAAAAAAAATATTCAGTTAAAATAAACGTTTCCCGAATTTCCAACTGATACCAATGAGACAGAAAATTGGTCTAAAAACCACTATACAGAATGCAAAAACAAATATATATAAAAGATCACACACTTTAAAATACAAGCTAAATAAAAACAATGCAAGTGACAGAATAACCAATCATTGACACTAAAAGATCCAAGTTTTATGAAAACTATTATCATCAATCATCAAAGTTGTCAACACCAGTAAGAGACACAAGACTGAAATAGTACATATATAAACCGCAAAAAAAAAAAAAACATACCTGGGAGGACCATCCGACCATCCTCCTTGCTGGGCGTCACTGTCATCGCGTTTTCGGCCACCTGAACATGGAAGACATTATCAGAAATGGCAACTTGTTTAGATTGTTAACTAAAAACTTCTTTCTGACTATACACTTGACTCTTAACAGAAAATTAACAAAAAATTCTGGCGAAAGTTGGATGTCAAGGAATAAAGAATGCCCAAAGAGTTTTAAAAATACAACGCCTTTGAAGATCATTTGGTACGTACATGTCAAAACTATTGATGTTGATAAACTAGAGCAATATTTCAAAAACTATTTCGGCACGAGGCCTGCTTGGTTCTAACATACCCTACCTACATCTTGACCCAAAATTTACATGACCCAACACGACTAATTTTCAATGGTAAACTTCCAGAAATTGCAGCAAATGGGCAAATAGTAGACACTTTAGGACTCTTTTAGCTCAGGGAGTCATAACCCAGTTTGGAGCCTTTGCAAGGTAACCACAGGACCACTACCTGGTTAATATTCTACATAATGTTCTCAACATTTTCTACATTAACATCCGAGTATAATAATCACCTTTTTCTGCTTCATTCTTCTCCCACAAGGCTTTTTTCTGGAAGAAAGAAAAGGAAGATATCAAAATTCAAGCATATAATAGCATTTGAAGCTAATAAACACTTAGGATTGGTAGAAAAAACAATCCTTAAAAAATAATGTCTCTTTACACCCAGTGACTTCAAACCATGATTTTTTCTGTGTTTGATAGAAAGAGTTTGATTGGGTCATCATCTCATAAACTTGGCAACTCAACACTTATTTCTAATCAGAGCTTAAAGTTTTACTCTAACACTAGAGTGAAAAGAAAATCCAAAAATTGTCAGGAATTCCACCAAAAGCGAGTTGTATTGTAATGTAGTTATCTACATAGTAAATAATTATCAAAAGTAATCTCTGTATTTCATTAACTTATTCCCAATTGATGCAACACTGGAATGCCCAATAGTCCAATTTGTTTTCATGATCTATATGTATATGAAGAGCAATACAGCAGAGGTTCCACATGTGCTTAAACCTTTGAATCGTGTAGTAGTTGGTGTGCGAAGCAAATCAACCTCAGACTCTTGTTTCAAAGAACATGTCTTCAAACAGCAGAAAAGTAGATCATCATTGTTACATACCATGTGTACAGTTAATCTTTTAAGTAACCGGTTAAAATTGTAGTATGAATTTATACCTCATTAACAAAGAATTGGAAATTATGGTAAATCAAAATTGTGATGCAAAATGACTATCTTCATGAAAGGAGCCATTTTTCCATTTATTTGTTTTTGAGCACTTTGGCATTGAAACCTAAACTGTTTGTCCATTCCTTTACATTTGTGTCAATTATTACTACAAGCAACTCTTTACACTGGTAAAAGATCTGATGCCAGCAATTGAAGTAATCGAGTTCACCCAATACGCTTCAGTCAAATCCTACATTTGCCAACAGAAATCCAGATTGCTTCCTTTTTTGGAACCTTGACCGATGCATGGATTATGATGCATAAGGCAAGGTTACTCAGGGGAAAATACGTATCCACAGGCAAATAATTTCGAATTGCAGTAGATTAAATCCATCTTGGGAAGACTCGTAGCAGACAGAGTCGTGAAAAGACTCTAGCAGATATTACCTTCAGATGCTTCATGCCTTCACAGTGTGCTTCAAGAGACTTTTTTGCGTTCATCTCGGAGACACAAAGCTGCAATGGAAATTCAATGCGATCAACATAAGACACGTCAAGAGGACCAGAATAATTACCTAAATAAAAAAATTCACTATTATTGCTCTCCAATCACACTACACATTAAGGACATCCAAGAGTGTATCATGTCCACAATTATTTAAGAGCACAGCTGTTGAACACTTATGCCTTTCCATATAATAGCTTGTTTCAAACAGACCAGTCAATTTTTATTCCTGCACTTGGCAGAAAAATGTTGAGGCCACATATCTATTTCAGTTCAATGTACACAATCCAATCTGAGGCACCAACCTCACAGAAGTATCCAGGTCGGCCTTGTTCAGTGTATTTAACCTTGATGAAATGGCCGCCATACACGGCAGCTGGGAAAGAGTAGAGGCACAATACAGGTCAACCATATAGTATTGACAAAGCTCAACCTAAACTAAATGGTGCATTTATGGAATAACGTCTGATAAATGCTCAAAAGCAACATACAGTCAAACACACAAGCTAATAATACTGAGCAGGTTCAGTGCCATCAAAAAATAATCAATGTTGTTACTTCTGAAGAACCAAAAGGTGGTACCAGAAGGCTAGGAGCGGAATTAAAAACCAACATTAGATTGTCAACCTAGACATTAGCTCAAAATATTTTAGTTTAATTGCCATTCTGTCAATGGATTATTAGAGCAAGATGTAAAAAACTTTCTAAACTTCTCTTATGAAGTTGAAAACTGAATTGAGATTCTTTAACATTATTAGAATGTTGTCATCAAGTAATACATTGTGACTAGTCAGAACTCACCCAATCGTTTTTCCTCCTCTTCAAACCAGTCTGGGTCGTGATCATCATCGAACTGTTTCATATCGCTCCAGCCGTCAATGATATCTGGATCCAATTCAGGCTTTTTTCCTGCTTGATTGCTTTGGCTGGGCCCACCTGAACAGCAGTGAAGTACTTTAAGAACCTTTCCTAGAACTAAGCAAGTACCCAGTGAGGAATTCTGGTGCAAGGGATTCATTACAGACCAAACTTGACTCCTGCATGGATTATGATGCAGCAGTCAAGGTTGCCTTTAACATTTTTTAATATCCTTTCAATATTTTTTGCCTTTAATACATTTCAATACATGCAATTTCCCCACAGAAATTACATATATTGAGGATTTACTTGCCTACATGCAGTTCCTACAGACCTTACAGCTTTCTGTGCCATGCTTCACTTAAATAATTGCCTACCTATTAATTTGCACATTGAAGATGAATAGATGATTAACAGGTGAATCAGGACACTCATTATCAAGATATTAATTCAACTGCCATGTGCAATGAAATATAAACTGGAATATATTTTTAATGACTGTAGCTATAAGAAGAAATGTGTATACATTCATACACATTCTGTGTTGGCAAAGTCCACCTCTCTGCCACAATTGTCCATATGTTGAAAACCCAAAAGCATTTTCCAAAAATATTACACAATAAATCAAATTTGCAACACAGTTACAATTAGTCATATGAGTTAGCCATGATGCAATAGGATAATGAAAACACCATCTATGAATTTTTATTCATATTTGAAGAAATTGTCAACTGTGCAGCTCCTGAACCAATGTTGTGTTGATTCAAGATATCTGGAAGGGTTAGCTTAAAACTTTATCTATCTCGTGGTAAATAGTTTTAGAAATCCTTGAATCAAGATTTGAGGTCATAGTAAAACATTCATGAACATGAGATGGCAATTAATTTGATTTCAAATTACTGAAGGAATCAAACAATAAAATTCAAACTGAGGAAATATAGGTACTTTTTCAATTAGAAACTGTTTCACGATTTCTTGTCCCTATTAGCAAAATGAGAAATATGTCTAGGAGACATTTATTACATTAATTTTAAGAAAGCACTTCAATGGAGACAAAATTTCCCAAACTTTATGTTTCCATGACAAGCACTTGGAGAATCATAACCATTGATGATTCTGAGTACGGTACCTTGATATGGCACCATTGATAAGATAGGAGTTCAAGAGAAATTACAGAGAATAAAGGTATAGGGCAGAAACTGTAGGTCGTTTAGGGTAAAATCTTCAATGCCACATTGCGGGTATTTAAGCAGGATGGCGTCCTGCAGGAGTTGGTTGAGTACGGAGGCGGACACGAGGAGTTGTCTCGTGCAAGCTAGAAATTGGGTAGATGCTCGGCGGTTTGGGGATGTGCAGTGTGTGGTGTGCAACTTCACTATTCAATGGAACAGTGCAAATGAAGATGAGATTATTCAACAAGTGGGCCAATTTTTCCCCAAAAATTGAAACCCCAAGGCACAACGTCCCTTCAGATAACACCGTCCAGCTACAAAGCTAATCGAGGATCTGCACCAGCCTGCCGCATTAGGAATACCGTCATGGAGACACCAACACCAGTTCCAACTATGGTCTGGATTACGGTGGAGCAAGTCACGAAGAAGTCTTCCAATGCACGCCTCAGTCACATAGCCAGTGATGTACTCACTAGGTATATCACTGGCTATGTGACTACACATCACTAGGTACCATACCTTTTTTTGTAGGTTGTGCCATTTACCTAGGTTCGAGATTATGTCCTATGTATTGTCATTTGCCATGCCACTGATTATATATTCCATATGACAAGAAAAGTTGATTGATGAAAAATGTAACATCCCTGTAAAAGGATAGCTTGTTTCGTTTTGTACGTCTTCCAGAATGGTGCTACGCAGTGCTCAGATAATTAGGTTGGATCTTTTCACCATGTCACAGCTCTGTATTAGGATAGTTTATTTTTCTAGTATAGGAAGTGTTGAGATATTCACGTGTTGTCATTTTTTTTCCTTTTGTAAATTCATGTGCTACCAGTCATGTGAGAACCTATTCATGCGCTGCTAAAGTACCTAAGCCACTCGGCAACAACCTGGCATTAAGAGATTTAATAAATTAATGTTACGTAAACCCTGAGTGGATGAGGATATATATATTGTGATAAATCTTCCAATTTATCACACAAGAGGCACATTGTCCAAAATTGTACTAAATAGGAAAAAAAAGTATCAAGGAAGGTAATAAAATAGGACCTATCAAATCGTCTTTTCTAAACACCATGAATAGGCACTAAATTATTCAAGGCATAATTTAGACAATATACTTTCAGCAAATTTTCTAGCAATTTTCAAATGGCAAATAAAAAGATGAGAGTGATTAAATATGAGATTACACAATTCAACACAATATTTTTAAATGAATTATGTGAATTGCAAGAAGAATTCACATCAGAAAGACCTTACCTTCTTGCTTCTCCTCAGCACTGGGCTTAGGATCAGGGTCTTTCTTCTTAGTCTCTTTTTTCTCTTCACTGCTAACAGCTCCATCCATAATCTTACTCAAGTCACTCCAGTCCGTGACTTCATTGAGCTGACTCCAGTCTGCACTCAAGATAAATTGTAATCAATATCTTGTATGACATCATTCATAACATTCAATTGATCTATGGTAGTAGGTTATATTTGCTTACAATAAGAACTGGTTCAATGTAATTTTGGTTTTAAGCAGTTTGATAAAAGGATGCACTTATCACGGTAATTAAAAACATTTTTATCAAATACTGGTACTACTACATGTGATTTTCATCAACAGACACAACTTTAGTAGTCCATGTTGAATCTTGCTTATGGATAGTTGGTACAAGCTAACTTGCACCCAACCTAGTGGGAAAATAACCTCTCTGAGCCATGAATGGATTTTTGGAGCCATAGATTTGTTTATTTTAAACCATGAGCCCTTTTCCTAAGCTGCAGATAACATTTATCAGACTGCAACAATGAAATCCTCACTGAAAATGTTTTGGATGTAGTTACCGTACAGGATATTTTAATGGAAGTTATAATTTTATTGAACAGAACATTCATTGAGCCACAGTATTTTTGATGAAGCCAAAATATTGTACACAACTTGAGAGCAGCAATATTTTGTATCAACCAGTCATTTATACAAATTTGGAGATTTTGTCAACCCAAATTTTGTCACTTAATGCGCCTTTTAACTTGATAATGAATGATTAAAACATTCAAAAACATTAAAGAAATAAAAATGTCCATCGGTACCCTGATTATTGATTTACCTGTGCCAACAAAATATATATTTTCTTGGACACATTGACAGCCTGACACACAGCAGGTCTACAAGTTACAGTGAACCTTAAATACATATCTCCTAAATTAAGGAATGCATCTTGATGAAACTTTGCAAACATGTGCAATAGGGCCTAACAGTGAATTTTATATCATTTATATATCATTTATATCATTTTTTTTTTGCTTTTGCCTTCATTTTAGCACATTTTTTCATTTATTGAAAAAATTCCTATTGTGCTCGTCATGCCCATCTGTCTGTCCATGACTTCACGTTTTCATTGACGAGGAAATGCACTCTCTGTCCCTTACTGCAGTGAGTACCTACGGAGTTACATTTTTCTAGAATACTAAGAAACCTGTGTTAGGATCGGATATACATTAGGCTCACTGCAAATTTAGGATCGTACAAAGGGAAGCAAAATTGAAAAAAATGACTACAGCCTAAACATCACCATTAGGTCTTGCTGAAAGCAATATGCAAATTTTAATCAAGCTGCATTGATCAAGTTGATATACTTAAGCTCACTGGAACTTGGAAACTGGCCGAAAGCTCTGCCATGAAAGTGCTCAAGAGGTTTTAGATACATATATTGCCCTAAGCACTTGCAGTAGTATAATAAAAATAGAAAGAAATTGGATGTTGACCCACTTTCTGCACCCTGGATCCATGGGTCAACATTCAATTTCTGTACATAAATCAAGGATGTGCATTGCAGCATAAATTTATAATTATATGATCGCCAATGGTAAATAATCAAAGTACCACTCGGTTTACAAATAAATGTGTAGAAAAAATACAAGTTTTTATGCACTGCTGCTCCAAAGGCAATGAGGCCCAGGGCACTCAGTAGGCATACAACTGTAGGAGTTCAATAAGTGCAGGCATTGATAACCAGAAGTGATGCCAGTTAAAAACATGCTGCCATCCTGCCGATACTGATGCTGCCATCCTGCAGCATCAGCATCCTCATGGTGCCATCCTGCATCATACTGATTAGTACAATACCTGGTACAACACATTCAAAGATCAGATTTAGATATTGAACTCATTTTTTCCTTCTAAATAGATGCTCTTTTTTGCCATAGAGATGTTCATTTGTTTCCTATCCTCTCTACTACTCCAGATTTTGCTTTAGATTTAATTCGTGATTTAAGGTAAAACTGCAATAAGGGATTTTTGCAATTGTGTGAGCATTCCAGGTATTCCGGTCATGCGGTGTTTGCTTTAATTTTAATGTAAGTGCTAAATGATAATTTTTGCACTTCTTTCCCCACATAACATAAGTTCTTTACATCTTAACCAATCTTGACCTAGCCCTTTGTCCTATGTAAATACGTACATCATCATGCAGGATGGAATTCTAATTTTGAAGGTTCATATATTATTTTGATCCACCAAGACCACTTTTTCAACCCAACATCGTTATTTGAGGCAAAAAAAAAATGAACTTCTTAAAGGCTAAAAATACGTAAGCTAACTAGCTCAGTTTTTATAAAGTAATCACTTGGAAGTTGTATGCCTGCACCTTTCAGTCTACAATTAAAATTAGACTTATAAAAAGTACCATAAAATGGGGTTACTTTGACTGGCGGGGAAACTTTGACCACTTTTTGTTTTTTCAACAAAAACCCCCAAAACTCAAAAACGATTTGACATAGAAAAATTTTGTTGATGGCCATCAAAGGCCTAATACTGATGCTACGTAACACAATAGAGAGATTTAAAAAGTTTGCATATCTAATAAGTTAAAAAATTAATAATGTGACCCACGAAAAAGAGCTATTATTTAAAGCCTGTCGGAGTACCCCCTCCAATTTTTTTATTTTTTGGTAAAATAACTTCAGGTTTTGATGCATTGTAGTAGAACTCTTCTAGATACATATGCAAAAGACAAATTTTAGGAAAGTGTCATAGTTTGCAAATGGGGGGCGCTGCCCCCCAATGGGGGAACTTTGACCACCTAATGGTAGCCATGAAGGGGTAACATTGACCGGCTTGGAAATTAAGTTAAAATTACCATAGGTACCTATATAACATTTTATGTTTGATACACCTATCAATGTTTTTTTATTTATGTTTCAGACTCTACAGAGTCTCATATATATATATGGTAATTTCAACTTAATTTCCAAACCGGTCAATGTTACCCCGTCACGGCTGCCATTAGGTGGTCACATTTTGCCCATTGAGGGGCGGCGCCCCCCATTTGCATACTATGACACTTTCCTAAAATTTGTCTTTTGCATATGTAACTAGAAGAGTTCTACTACAATGCACCACAACCTGGAGTTATTTGGAGTTGTTCAACCAAAAAATAAAATTGATTTTACCACCCGGTCAAAGAAACCCCAAGAGCTGGGTTAACAAAGACCATCACTTATTTTGAAATTACATCAAAACTATGAGAGGCAGGAGCCAGCAATTTATGGTGAGTAAAGCTAGAGTATAGACCTGTATTTTGCATGTTTCAATTTAAGTTTAACTTATCTAGTAAAAAAATGGCATTTTGAAAAAAAAGTGGTCAAAGTTACCCCATTTTACGGTATTAGTTGAAAATTTGTCTCTTAACTTGACCGCAATGAACTAAACTTCATTAAGTAATTACAACAATACTGCAAAGCAGAGATTTCCATCATGCACACTAAACATGCAATTCAGAGTTCAGACGAGCAGAACTACATATCATGTGAGCGGCAGCGTGCAACTGAATTTTAGTGTGCTCTATATTTTATATAATGAAATAGTTTCCCCTTTTAAACAATGAACATTTCTAGATGACACAAAACATTATAAAATTTGCAATGGCAGACAAAATCATTCATAATTTGAAGTGAAGTTATTAAGATAAATCCAACGTAATAGGGCAAAAAATGGAAAAAATTCAAATCTGGAACCTATCAATGTGTTTTTATAATTTAAAACAACTTTCAATCATTTAAATCTCAGTATGGAATGTGGATCAAGTTTATTTATTGTGAAATCAAACTTGACATGACCAAAAGAAATGTGTGACACTGCCATGTCAAATGTAATCATAGAAGCACGATGTGAACGTACGCCTTGACAAAGTTGCAGTTGATCTCATAATTTTGTGTGATATCAAAAACTTTGTTGGTATTGTCCAATCGTGATATTTTTTTGTGAATGTGTATTTTTTTTTATTTTAGAACATATTCATTGCAAAAATTTGTCAACTAGCCTACAGATAAACAACTAGTTAACTTGATTGAGGAAGGCGTTGCCAACACGGGATTGGATTTCAAACCACGCGCAATTTCAGAAGCGCGGCAGTTTCTAATGAGCTCTGTGTATCAATTTTCACTGCAGTGGAAGGTGGTGTAACATGGTTGGGTAGGTTTTTCAATACATTTTCTTATGTTAACATGAGAATATATTACCTATACAGAATTCCACACTGCGATACACCCATAATTTCTCAGTAAACAATAAGAAAAACAGCCCCATATTACTCATGTTTATCAAAAATCAGCACTTGCAGTTGCATGATCATTTTTAGCCACAAACAAAGGAAACTTCTGCCCATATTTCAAATCAGATGGATTCATGGACAATCGTGAGTAGAAACTTCAAATAAGATCATTAAGATGACACCTTATATATAAAACATCAGAATGTATTGATAAGAGAATAGAGAGAATTTATGTCTATTTTACCACATTTTTCTTAGCTCACTTTTGTGTCCGTCTGTCTGTCTGTTTGTGATGATCAAATTTTGCAATCGATATTTCACCAACTTTCCCGCTAGCTAGCGCTCTCAAACTTTTAGGGAAGCTCAGCTCCCGATGACAATACAATAATCAATTTGTTGCACATTTCCTTCCAGGCATATTTATTCAATGAAATGTCAACCGAGAAATTGTGGACGCTGCTGCCGCGGTAACGCAGTGCGCCGCTGTTGTGATGGCGAGCAAAGCCTGGCTTAAATACAAGACCATTTCAGGACCCGCTTGCCTAACTAATATTACTATTGATCACTTAGCGCCGTTCATTCATTGCTTCTTCTATCATATTTTAATGTCTTTCATTACCAAACCTTTCCTTTATTACAGCCACGCACCCAGATAAATACGGGAACAACAATGTATCCCCTCGAATACAATTTTCTACAGAACTTTGCAAAGAATTTTCTTTTGTGCATTTGCGTGGCCAACTGAAATAAAATGAATATTATGTAGGATGGCTGACCTTTGTGCAGTAGTTATAAACTCTAAAGGAACTCACAAGCAGGGGCTGGGAACCTTTAATGCACGTCATCCTCAAGAGGATATTTGTGTTTAGTCTGCGTATATTGATGATACACTGCGTATCATCGATACGTACGTCAAGTCATAGTGGCAATAAAGAATACGTTTTTTTAGGGTAAACATCCCATTTCTGAACGCAAATTAAGCCTATGCATTGCAGACTAAATTTATGAACGCGAATGTTAAACAATCATAATTCAATTCATTAAAATCAGTTAACAAAAAATCTTAGTTTTTACGCACCAGACACCTCTGACTCATACGCTAGTAGAATCGAGGCAGACGACAGTGCATGACTGGAAGCACATGCATCGACAACCATACGCGGCGCCACTTCAAAATGCACTGCTGGCTGGCTGCAGGCTGCAGCTGGCAACACGTATATCGACAACACGCATCAAGCTACAATTGGCCGTTCGGACTAGTTCATATTTAGCTTACGTTCTCTTGTTCAGAAAAGAAATAACTGGCGCGTTTGTCATAGGAGGAGACAGACGTTCAAGTGCTTGCCTATCCGGATTTCCCTTCCGGATTCTGCTTTCGATTTAATTCCTGATTTAGAGCAAACACTGTGTTGAGGGGATTTTTGCAAATGATATATCGATCCGACAGACACTTTGTGAACAAATTTTTAAGATAAACTAACATGACAAATTTAATAATCTTTACCAAATTACAAACAAAACTATTCATTCGCAATGCCCTCAAGCAAATGAACATGATAAATGATCATTTTTTTCACTTCTTCCCCGCATCAATTAATTTTCCTCATTAAGCCTAAAATATCTCCCAAACTAATGAACTTAGCAAATGTTCAAAAAACGGTTATGTTTAGGTCATGATCATTTTTTTCAATTTCACCTTTGGTGCACCTTGTACGGTTCTAAATTCACAGTGAGCCTAACATCTCCTATCCTCTTGCACAGGCTTTTTGTGTACCTTTAATTAAAGGCACAATTAAAAAATACTCACGACCTAAACATCAACGTTAGTGAAGAAGTGTGCAAAGTTTCATCAAGCTGCGTTCATTAGTTTGGGAGATATTTTAGGCTCACGGAAACTTGTAGATTACGAGCACGGTCATAAAGTGTCTGAGAGGTCTTATATATGCATATATATAATTCTCTCAACACTTGCAGTAGTGTATTTTGAATAATTAGCTTTGTTGTTGGAAAGGTTAAGCTCGGTTTCGATTATAAAAACTTATGTGCATGAAACATGCTACAAATTTGCTTTTATCGCGCTAGGTAAAATTGAAACGAATTTTGACAGCGCTCGCAAAAAATATTGTTTGTATATAGCTTTTTTCTTAGCTTTATCATCATTGAAATTACATAATTATGCTTATTATACCCGCTATGAAAATTTTTTCCAAAAAATTCATCCTAAAATTGTCGACGCGACTGGTCTGACAGAAGCGTGTGGGCCATCCCATAAGCGTGACATAGCGTAGCCATCTTGACGCCACTTCGGCACAATTTTTTTCTCCATTTGTTAGCAATAGATATGAAATTTAATGCAGACGTGTAAATACTCATTGAGCAGTATCGATGTTTTTTTTATATTCACGTCCTCTTGTCTTCACTTAATACGGCAAAAGAGTGGAACCTAACCTAGCCAAACTTAACCAAAACTGTTTAAATTGGGAGTAGAGGAATGAGGAAATATGAAAAAATATCCATGCCACAAAGCAATTGGCATCAAAAACTGTGTATTTAATTTCATAAATATTGACTACGAATAGAATGAATGGGCAGTGTCAAAACGGGATGGCAATACTGCAAGCTAACGCACAAGCAATTTTTTCGATGCTGTCATTTTTATTACCTATATTCAGGAAAATTTTTACAAGTAATATCACGTTTGAATAAGCGAACAGTTGTGAATGATTAGAAGGCATGATTATGCTGCCGGAGGTTAGTGCTTATGCTGCAATTAATTTCGTACTTTCTTCCGCAGCGCGGGAAAATAACATTCTAATCCGCGATCACTATGTAACGGCTAATTTCACGTCGAAATGCGTACCACGCACAGTCACGCACTGGTATACATTTTGCAGTAATTCGATATAGACCAGGTCATGAATTTGTAGTCGTATAGTGTATCATTTAATAATGAACTTTTAATAAGGAGCGATTCCATTCGTCGTGCAAATTTTTGTACTAACAGATTACAAGACTTACAGAGGTGGTATTTCAAATGATGAAAAGTGAACGAGTGAAATGATTAAAAGTGAACGAGTCCAAATAGAGGTTTCCCCAATTCCTAGATTGCCACCATGCGTCAAGTCAAGTAAATTGGCTCGCAACAATGTTTTTCATGTGCAGCAACGGACTAAAATGAATAAAATAAAATACTTAAAAAAAAACTTTTTAAAAAACTACCTTTTTCTTGTGGACTAAATAGTAGAAAATAAATTATGGCTCGCCCCAAAAAACGTGGGTTGGGCTGTACGTTCACCATCAAATTTCCAAAATTCGTGTGTTGTGTGCTTTTCGCTTTAATCATAAATCTGCCTGACACACGTTTTTTGGGGCGAGCCATACCTAATTTAATTTTCTACTTTTTAGTCCACAAGAAAAACATGGTTTTTTAAAAAGTTTTTTTAAAGTATTTTATTACCGTAAAATGGGGTAACTTAGACCGGCGGGGTAACTTAGACCACTTTTTGTTTTTTTAACAAAAACCCCCACAACTCAAAAACTATTTGAATAGAAAAATTTTGTCAATGGGCATTAAAGGCCTAATACTGAGGCTACATAACACAATAGAAAGATTTGAAAAGTTTGCATATCTAATAGGTTAAAAAATTTAAAATGTGACCCACAAAAAAAAGCTATTATTTAAAGCCTGTCAGAGTACCCCACCACGCCCCACGGCCAGTGTAGCTGTCAGCTGACTTTCTTCAGAAGTGCAAAAGCTTTTGCCGGTGAAGGTGTTTTACGATCGGTCCGTAAAGAAGCGTTGATCGGTTCAAAATGACATAAGAACAGGTTCTTTTGAATAACCTATGGATTGCCACCATGACTGGTCATAAAAAATCCATCATATCACTGATCACTCTTAGTCTTAGGAATAAGATAGAGTTATGGAAAGTGGAAGGAATGAAACGTTGAAACCAATCATATGAAACTCACAACCTTAATAATTTTGTGTTAGTTCATTCATGAAATACAAAATGTATTCATATAATATCAAATAGGTAGGTAGGGCTGGTAGGCCTAGGTAACTTAGGAATAGGAAATACAACTGTTGATGACCTCGAAGTCGAAGGTAAGTCAATAATAATTTGATTTAAACTTACCCATTATTCTTGTCTGAAATTTTGATGCGAATTGTCAATCAGTCTTGTTTGTTAAAATTCTTATTTTAGGCCGAATCAACGAACAAAGTAATCAAAAAGAGCTACGGAGCTATTCGTCGTAGACTGCAAAAAAATCAGATCTGAAAATCTAGGAAAACTGCGTATGCGTTAGCAGTAGCACGGCCGTTGCTATAACTATAAGCGTCGGTTACTCGGTTTACCAATAGACGCAAAGGCCGCAAAGCCCGCAATACAGCCGCAGCCCGCATGTGCGACTAAAGAGAAGTTAATACCTTTCAAGGACTTTATTGCTAGATAAGAAACAAAAAATATTACGAGAAATAAATTCTAAATCCTAATTTATGAAACATTTAGTTAAAAAGCTTAGAATAGATGAAACGATTACAAGCTTTTCAAAGATTGACGGAATATCTAATGAATAGTTAACAAAAAAGGCCTATAAATGCTAAAAATTTACGCACCATTGTTTGCAAAATATATAGCGAATAAAAATAGCAGGACGTATTCATATGGTAGATATATTACATTATAAATTTTCTCATTTGTAATTCGATCATCCGAATATCTCTATCCATCGGCGTGACCATTGATTGTTTCATGTGCCAAAACTTTCTTGCAGTTGAGCACCACACAACCGGCTGGGCTGTACCATTTCGTTTCTCCTCCATTTGAAAGCCTTCATCCTTTAATGAATATCTTTTGAATCTTAGTAACCGCGAACAAATAGTTGTGAAATTTTATACAAAATTTGGATTTGATATAAAAAGTAATGATACCCGCATTGGGGTGAAGTTAACCACAATCCGAAATTTCGCAAAAAATAACCACAATGTGCTGTAACTATGCTTTGTTTAACTTTAAGTACTATTCAGGACACATTAGAGTACATTAATAACTAAATGTCTTGCAAGCTGACCAGCTTAAAATTTTTTTTTACTCTGCTGTGGAATTAATTACTATTTATTCGAGATTTTTTTTCAGCAGTTTCAATACGAACCTTTTAACATGGATTGGTTTACTTGACGGGAACAAATAGTACGTGATCTCAGTATTTATAATTCTATCTATTGTCAAAAATGGACTCGTTTAGAGTGAGTTTGAAAGAAATTTACAAGATGGGTGAGTGATTTTTTCAATATCTATGGAGGCTCTTTTAATTTCAGTGAGAATCGTGCTCATACAGTTGCGCAAATCGAATAGATGAGTTACTACGTAAACAATAATTTTACGTTAATCACTTTCCGAAGACCCCTCCACAGATTCGGTGGCAATCATGTTGCAATTTCTGGATCAGTGCTGGCGGAGCAAAGAATCTCGAGCGCAAGAATTAACTGCAAAGAATGATAACGACGTCTCTGTTATCTCAGCCGCCATAAGCGCTCTGGGGCCCGAGGCTTCAGAAGGTTATCCGACGAAGATGTCTTGGGACCCGCTCCTGCTCTGGGTGTGTCCAACTCAAGATCTGCTCGACCGCATCGCGTTTCACGTCTGTGGAATTATATTTAACTTTTGAAGCTTGTTGTCACATAACTCGGAGAACTATCAGACTAAATGGGCGAACTCTAAGTTTACTGTATTATATGAATCGATTTGACGTTTGCTATAATAGAAAAACAACACCCCGATATCCTTCGCACTCTTTCAGGCATAACAAATTATGATAACAAAATTATGCTAAAATTTGGGTCTCAATGTAACAATATATTGGGTAAAATTTTACGTGTACTGTCTCCATATGCAGTATTGTATTACATGTCAGGCTCACAATATATCAGGTCAGCTCAATAGGCCTGGAGGCATTGACGTCAGTCGGCAGTGGGACCGGACTCCTGGAGTGGCTTTTACACAAGTCATCAGGCAAGAAGCAGTTCTAAGGCCTCCCAATATTTATTAAGCGAGCAATAATGGGTCTATAAGACTATAGCTAATTTCAGTGCTGCTCTATTGCCTGCGAAAAATCCTGTATCTTCGAACAATAATTATAGGTAACATACGTGACCCAAGCCAAGCCTAATTATTAACTAAAAAAAGTAAAAACTCTTGCAGTGAGCACACAGAATTACCCCATACAAATTAAGCGGGATTAATTACAAATCAACAATGTCAATGAGTCTAAGCCCGTCCCACCAAGGCATTATATTATATTATATTATATTATATTATATTATATTATATTATATTATATTATATTATATTATATTATATTATATTATATTATATTATATTATATTATATTATATTATATATGCTCCTAATATCATGCTGCTCGGGAATACCGATTGTATTGAGGGCATTAATAAGGTCATATATTTTTATTTTACGTAGAACAACGTTAAATCAAGACCATCGTAACCTTGCATTGTCATTACACTAAAATTCGTTAACAGATATTTTGCAAATCAGGTCTTGATGTGACATCGCTGGAAGTCAACAGAAGTTGGTGGCAGAGCAAATACGCTCCCCCGCGTTTTATGTCTCACGTTTACGTTGACGAACTTCAACCAAACGACACCGGAGAAGACAACGAAATACAGCCTACCTACGCAGTCCCATCATCCCACGCACTCATGACTTGTTATTTCAACAATATTCAAGCCTTCAGGTAATCGTGTGGCATAGTTAATAATCGTACCACAGCTGAAACGTTGCAGACGCCAGAAAATGGTGGACTGCTGACTGCACGATATAACGTACTGGAAAGAGTCCATATCTCGTCTTAAAATATGTTTTTTATCAAGTTTTCTAGACTGTAAGTCAAGAGCATTAAATAACTACTAGACTTCCACCAGGTTCGACATATGTTTTGTTATTTATATTATATTAGTTACCTAACTCGCTCAAGTAGGTCGAAAGTACCCACTCAACTTTGTTTATATTATACGAAGAATTAAGATTACCCTTACTTTAGTTATTAATCCCTAAAACTCAGATAAATTTGACTGTTGCTAACTTATTAGCAGATGGCAGGGAGATAATATAACCGATAATGATAACAAAACGAATTTATGACTTCATAACTTCTTTCATTTATGTCGGGCTTTCGCTCTTTGGAGTGAGTCACCGCTGTTCACACTTGATGAATGACAATACAACAAGTGAATCAAATTTATGGTGTACGATGAATTAAATGAAGAAAAAATTAGCTTGGTTATTGACGGTGAACACGAACGACACTTGCCGACGATGTTGTGGTTTTTCTTCTTTAGATGACACAATAAATCACTGATCAATATTATGTGCATGAAAACTGAATGATGTAAATCGTCGAATGTTGTGAGCAAGAAAACCTAACATCAGTTGAAGCACGAAGCATAATAATATATTTTCAGAAGGTATTTGGAGATCTTATTAGGCAAATAATCGAATATTGTGTGCAAGATAACCTAACATCAGCTGAAGTTTGGAGCTAATTAATAAGTTTTCAGAAGGTATTTGGAGATCTAATGACACAAATCATCGAATATTGTGTGCAAAATTACCAAACATCAGTTGAAGCTCGAAGCTAATTAATAAGTTTTCAGGAGGTATTTGGAGATCTAATGAGGCAAATCATCGATTATTGTGTGCAAAATAACCTAACATCAGTTGAAGTTCGAAGGTAATTAATATATTTTCAGGAGATATTTGGAGATGTACAGCGGGCCTCTGCTGCTGATCATCGGCTCTGAGAGCAGCGCCACCAAGACAGAGCCGTCGCCCCTGCAGTTCCGGGACAGCGACGCCTGGTGCTTGTGTGACACCCTGGCCCTGGGCGGCCCATCTCGACACGACCTCCTCGCTGTCTACAAGCGCAGACCAGCTGGGGCCATACTTTGAAAAAAAAAAACGTAGCTCAGTACTCAGTGCAGTGCCAGTGAGTGACAGAGAGCGCATTTTCTCGTCGACCAAAACTGGAGGTCACGGACAGACGGACGGACAGGCAGACAGACGGACATGCCGAGCACAATAGTACATTTTTCCATAAATGAGAAAATGCGCTAACAATCTAAGAGACCGTAAGTTTATCAGCCAATCATTGACGGCCGTTCAAGCAAAATCCACCAATCATGGACAAGAAAATAGGTCGTAAGTACTTACGTTCACTTAGCGAATTTTGAAAGTACTGGTCATGGGCCATACTTTAAAAACATTCAATAGACCGTAAGTTTATCAGCCAATCATTGACGGCCTGTCAAGTAGACTCCTGCGTTTGGCATTTTGTTTATTCCGAGACGAGACGAGACGAGACAACAGGCTCTGTCCCGGTTCGCAATAAAAACCGGGACAATTTTCAGCCCTCCGTAGGAATTCCGGGACGATACCGACAGCTCAATCACAGAATCAGATTCATCGATCTTGCCTTAAGCAATCTCCTTCAACAAAAAGTTTGGAAAGAAATATCAACAACATTTTAAAATACAACAAAGTTTAAGTTGGGAAAAATATAATAGTTTGATCTTCAAAAAAGAACTCGAAATATCCATGTGGATCCTTTCTAAATAACGTTAAACAAGCTCAAGTGTTTGATAACAATTTAGGAAACTGCGCAATTGTGAAGATTTCCTGGAGGCGTAGCACAAAATTTTACTAAAGGCAGAGATAATCTAAAACTAGCTTTAGTATTATTATGAATATCTTACCAGGACTCCACTCCACTGTCTACTAATTGACCGACTAATCTAGCCCTTTACGCCCTGAATTTCTGGGACAAAAATCGTAAAATTCCCTTTTTCGGTTTTAAGTCTCACTTCGAAGCTGACATTCTGACCTATCCAAATGGTACCAAAATCATCTCTGTACGTTGATTTATGCCTTGACGACAGTTCGTGAAAGTGTTAGGGGTGGGGGAGTTCTTTCACATTTAATATAGGCGAAAATTACTGGTTGGGCACATAAATACGCAACCTGAAGACGCTGATCTTTAGTTACCCGGCTGCGTCGTGTGGGATGGTGCTCATGCAGTCGTTCCCACTATCCTTGACTGAATTTCGGCTCCAGGAATGTCTAGTCTTGCATCCATGTCACCTTGAATGCCTATTTCGAGGCGCTTGGGACTTTGTCGCGCTCTACTGAACATTCACACTTATTGTCACTGCAAACCTATTTCCTCCCAGAGTTTTTAAGCTACAGCAATGAGTAATAAACCGTTCGATTCGCAAATAAAATATCTAGAGATTGGTCAAAGCTTTTTTTCAATTTCGTTAAAGTTTTGAAAATATTTTGAAAAAAAGGGAGGGGAAATTCGAAAGGGTGGGGGGATAAATAATTTTTTTTAAATGCCCACCCCACCCACAAAAATTAGAATTTCGAAAAACAGCAAGGACCAATCGATAGATATGGTCCTTACGCATCGAATGATATGCGTCTCGATGTTGTAGCTTGAAAATCATAGGAGGAGATAGATTTCTACAGTACCCCCTTTTTGGCGGTTTTCTAAGAATTTCACGTTTTCTTTCACTTTTTTCGAAAAATTTCTACGAACAAAAAAGTCTTCGATTTATCTTTTACATATGTGTACCAAGTTTCAAAGTTATCTGTTAGTAAATAACCGAAATAGAATTTCCATAAGAAATTGGACATTGCCATTGGAAATTGGAAATTATATTTCGGTTATTTACTGACAGATAACTTTGAAACTTGGTACACATATGTAAAAAATAAATCTAAGACTTATTTTATTCATGTGAAATTTTTCGAAAAAATGACAGAAAACGTGAAATTGTTGGAAAAGGTAGCTAGTCCCTGGTGTGACGAATTCGTCACGCCAGGGCGTAAAGGGCTAGAGTTCTAGACACTGCGTCTCTACTCATATGCGCTCCACGGCGCCTGAACTCGTTCCGAACGCATAATAAACTCGACTCATATTCGTACGATTCCCATAAGTGCCATCGAAGCCTTAGTTAAGACTTACGAGTAACATTTTTTACTCAATACTCAGCCATGCATACATCGACAGGTTTGCGGTGTTTGTCGGACCACTAATTAACTGCCATGTCAGTTAGTCAGACAAATTTTGCTAAATTTGCAATTAACTCAATTTAACTGGTAACCGTCTATACGGCCCTATTAGCAATAAAGGGCTAACTTGTCATTCTTTACCCATGTCATTGAAATAATTCGTATCGGAATCGAAAAACTTATTTTGTCTTAAATAATTAAGACAAATCTCGTCTCGTCTCGTTATGTCTCGTTTCAAATCGTCCCGGTTCATAATTTACCGGGACACAAGTTTTAAAGTCCGGGACAGAAGTCTTGTCTCGGTTCATACGTTTATTCCGGGACAAATTTTACCCTCTGTCCCGTTATTTTTTTCCCGGAATTTTCTCGTCTCGTTTCGTCTGTCCCGGTTCATTTCGAGAAAATTATTTCGAGACGCAGGAGTCTACTGTCAAGCAAAATCCAACAATCATAGACAAGAAAACGGATCGTAAGAACTTACGTTCACTTGGCGAGTTTTGAAATTATGGCCCCAGGCATCTGATGTTGAAATAACGTCGATTGAACGTTGTTTCAACGAAATCAGTCCGTAATCAACGATGTTTCAGCGTCATTTAAAAGGAAGGGCGAGGCCGAGACGGTCGATGCAAGTGACACTGTACCAGCTGGCATTTTTAATCATTATGTTTTATTTTAAATGACGGTCTGAAGTTGAAATACTCACGATTTTCATATATGAAATGAAATACAGACTACATTCAAGATTGTTTACCTACATACGCATTCAACCGCCGAAAGTTACTAACCGAGGTAATTTTCATTTTTATACGGATTTGGTTCAAATAATCATTTTCGGGCTTTTGTAATTTCTTTTCGAACAAAGTTGAAAAAATACCCAGTAATGAATGCCAGCGGTTGAGGCTGTCAGGTAAACGGTCTAAATTACGATATTGAAAACATATTTAGAACGTATAAATCAAGTCTTAACGTGTCATGCCTCGGCAATATATTCAAACATAGGAAACAATGGCAAAAGTTTTGTGCTCTACCTATACTGTCAGTATTGTGTGCATGAGCACATTAGTTTTGTGCTCTACCTACTGTCAGTATTGTGTGCATGAGCACGAACGTTTTGTGCTCTGCCTACTGTCAGTATTGTGTGCATGAGCACATTAGTTTTGTGCTCTACCTACTGTCAGTATTGTGTGCATGAGCACGAACGTTTTGTGCTCAAATTACTATCAGTATTGGGTGACAGTAAACGTTTTGTGCTCAACTTACTTAGTACAGTATGGGGAAAACACAAACGTTTGTGCACCCCCAATATTGATAGTAGGTTACTTAATTGCAGCAGATTACTTCGACATTTCATCTTAATCATAATGAGGCATTCAAAAAATGCTGATAAAATTAACGCCTGCAGTTAATAAATTTGCTATGCAGAAATATTTGACGGGTACGCAACGGACTTGCAAGAATGTTTTGAAAATGTGATTGTACAATGAAAACTGGAATTTTTTGAGCACTAGAACGAAGAACTTCTTTTCTATATGAATACTACTAACTTAGAATATATATAGTTGTCACTGCGATGAACTCCTAAAAAATGATATATAAATTGAATTTATACAACCGAACCTGGTCATGGGTTCGTAAATACGGGATAAATAAAAAACAATGTTCATCATCTTATTATATTAAGTTCCTATTATTGTCACTATGAACAACTTAATGCAGTTGCACACACAGTGTATAATAAATTTTCTGTATATTAGAACAACAACTCATAAGATTCTGTTTGGATTTTACTTTTATCCTGTTGGAAATATGTCAACAAAATGTTGACATCGCAATCTACATGCACTCGCAAAAATTCTAGGGAAATTTAATGCTTAAAGCTGAACAGCGATGAGGGACATTAATTGAATTTTGAATGTACATCCCTGATCAGCAAGCATAAAAATCATAACTTAATTTTCCACATCGCTATAAATATTCTCTTAAATAACAGACTATTCAAAATTCAAATGAGAATTAAAAAACTACATTTTGAAATTGGAATTGTACAGATGATTTGGATTCCTACCCAGTTTTAAATAATGACACACTAATATAAAAAAATTAACGGAAAGACTGCCGCTATATATCAAGAGAGGAATAGACTATAAACAAACGTAAACACCAAAAGGCTTGTTTTTTTTTATCGTAGCGCCTTATCTAAAGGCATTCATAATACGCCGCTAATCTTCAAACAGATACAACCGTTCGAATTCCAAGAATTTACAAAATTATCTCGCTAACTAAGCTAAAAATTACACATTAAAAGATAAAAACGGATTGTATCAATAATCTGAATGAAACTGTCATGTTACTGAAAGTTTAAAAAAATTTTTCAGTTATATTCGCACACGCTTATCAGCTGGTAAGGAAGTAATTCATTTTTTAAAAAACAATATCACGAAACATATTACATCAAGAAAATTTTTTATCCGTGTATAATATTGTTAGGTAAATTTGATAGCCGACTATCTACTTTTCCGAAAAACAGCATAATTCGGCTGGTATAATAGGATTTAGCTGTAAATTGCTTCATAGTTACGGTTACGAGTTGTGAAATTCTTCTGCGCAGCAGTAAACTTCGGTTCAAACAGAAAGAAGATATGTCTTTGCGTACAAGTTATTACGTCAAATTACATAGGAGTGAAAAACCTTATTTGCCATTTGGCTATTTAGCAACACAAATCAATAATACGTTCCGGATAAAATTCTGAAACTTCCATTACTGCGGATGGTGTACCCAACGTTACTGTTTACCTGTCAAAAGGGCCACTTGATTTAAATTGTTACTTTGCTTAGTTATTTACACAGTTTCACGCTTTTCGTTCAGCCGTCAAAAAAAATCAGGTACTGCAGACAGATTTCTTCGCAAGCTCATGTTTTTAGTTGACCTGCAGATTTAACTGCATCGCCTTACCGAGTTGCCATTTCAAAAAAGTATTCGTGTAATCCTCCGCTTTTCGTTGTTGTAACAAATTTTTTCCAACCTGTTTGTCCAGTTTCTCATCACGGCCAACAGCCTAGAAATTACTTCTCAACGAAATTCATCAGCCTCATGCGTTTGAAATAAAAATATATCTTTAATGTCCATGAAACAAATCCGTAATGAAATACACATTATTGGTCAAAGAATCACTGTACACTTGAGAGCATAAGAATACTTCAACGTTTTTATAGATTTGGAGGCAGTCATAATGTCTTCATTTCTTAAACCCATACAGCAACACCGATTTCTGACGAAATAAATGTGTTTCGCTATTACAGTCTGCATATTGCCGTTGATTCGAGGACCGGGGGTTATATTCGTTGTGTCTATCGTTAATTTAGGTTCAAGGAATACGTTAAAGTCAGCGATGAAATTCTGATTTTAAATCACGAGGTGCCGGTTCAAATATTTCTTTACGTAAACAGGAATTTTAAAGCGAAGAAAACACTATTAAATTCAACTTAGCTTCATCAAAAACTTGGTGTTTGTTTTAAATCAATAGTTAACTTACGGTTCATGCAAACTGATGATATAAGTACATCCCGTATATAAAAATATGATGAAAGGAGGTGGATAGGCTACAAAGTGTTCCATTGGATTGACTGCCAAAACTTTTAGATTAGAATGTTTCATGTCAGTCGTTATTTTCGGAATTTCAACATTAGATAGTGAAATTCTGAGAAACTGAGTATAAATCATCCTGTTCTTAGTCATAGACGGCAGCTGAGGTACGTATAAGTATGTCTTATTTCCTTATTTCCACACATTTGCAAGCGTAAATATAACAAGTGTCATAAAACCATTCCATAGAATTGATTCAGACAATGTGTGTGGGATCCATTCCATCGCAACTTTAAAGATGAAAAAGATTATCTACAGCATACAAGCTCACATTAGAACATACTGACAATACAGTATCAGCCAAAAGTTGTGATTTGATTTTCATAAATAATCTTCAACCGGTTTTATTAGTTTATAATCACAAACACAAACTTTCAGAGTGAAATGTTTTGATGCATACAAACGATCGCTTCATTTCATTTTGAGCGCTTCCCAAAATGTCATGCATAATTCAACGTTTTTTATCATCCGTCACCTGAATGACATTCAAATGATTCAATCAATACATGAATGTAAATAATACATGATTCATGAATACATGATTGTAAATAATACATGATAAATTATGTTTAATTGTGCATGATTCAAATTATTGCACAATTTGAATCATGCACCATAGAATCGAACAATTCCAATAGATTAAAGTATCTTGCCTACAGCCTCAGTAGGGGCCATATGATAACATTATTCAGTAACATAGCAACAATAACATTTTCCTCTTAAATGAGGCATACATCGGCAATTAATCTCATGACAGACTTCACAGGCATGGAGACCGTTTGACCAAGACTTACACTCACCATTCATATGAACATTTATCTCTGAAACTGTACATATATGAATGGCGTTCAGCTAAATTAATTTGCAGGTAAAAGTAGATGTATATATCACGTAAGAAATTCGATTAGATTGTATCCAGCGATTTTTTGGCAGTTAGATTAGAAGAAAAATATTTAAATGTTTCTGCTTGCATTCTAAGTCTCAGTTATCTAAGAATAATAAAATTGAGGACTTCGTGATGCCCAAGATTTCAATTGTCGTTAAATTTGGTTGATCATTAAGAACATTTGCAGCTGACGCAGTAATCTAAAACGCTAGTGAGGTGTTCTTCTGCTAGAAGTCGATGATACGTATATTCACGGTATACATGTAACCAAAATCCCAGAGTGCTTGACCTCCACCATCTAACCGATGCTATAAAAAACTGAATCCGTGATGCTGAAAATTAAATAAATGATGATTACGATGATGCCTCAAAATCTTATACAGTCAAAATTACGATCAAGTCTGATCCAGCTGCAGGTGAGATCAAATTGTTTACTCACGAGGGCGATCGTTTAGCTCTGAACAAAACACGTCCTTGTAATTGTTTCCATCATATAGAATAACATTTTTATGTGGTCAGACGAACGTTATAAAATATACTGGGGCCATACTTTCAAAACTCACTAAGTTAACGTAAGTACTTACGCTCTATTTTCTTGTCTATGATTGGTGGATTTTACTCAAAATGCGTCAATGATTGACTGATGAACTTACGATCTCTTAACTTTTTTTGAAAGTATAGGCCTAGGACGATAACTCTTTCCTGCCGAGCACCGGTTTGCATCGAGCTCCGTTTGCTTGAGATCAAAACAACGTAGTTTCCGTCGCCTTGCAATGACGTCGAGCGTAGCATGAATTCCTCCGCTCTATTTAACTCTCGGACAGGGCATACAAATCCCGTATCTTGGGTTATGCCTAATCAATGTACAGTTTCTCGACTTCGCTCAGGAGCGAATCTTTAAGACATTAGTCTTTTCACTTAGCACTCGAGCATTTCAAACGAGTCTTCAAGTCTCGTCACTATTATGCACAGCATACACTGTTAGAAAAATTACCGTTAAACGGTATTACCGGCGTTTCAGTGGCCGGTCGGCACGTGAAAAGAAACACCGTGTCGCCGTTTTTATTCTAATTTAACACTAGAAATCCGTAAAACATCTGATAAAACGTCGAAACAGTTTTTTTACGGGGCGACCGGCCACTAGAACGCCAGTGGGACCGTTTTTTCACCATTTTTTTCTAACAGCATAGCAAGAGAAATTGAACAACCACACTTTTGACACAGCATAAGCCTATAAAGTTAGCTGCAGCTGGAGTGGTTCCCTCGTGGTTGGCAAAGAGCGACTCAGCTGAGCGCGACACTGGTTTTGGTATACGTCCTCACCCGTTAGAGTATCTTAGCTCTTTCCAGTAGCTCGTCCACGAATTTCTGAAAACAAAAATAAATTAGGAGTCAAAGAGGTTATCATTTACCCCCTTTCCTCCCATCATCTGCTTTGGTACTTCGTGCGTTGTTATCCTTCCGTTGATAATGGGAAAGGAAAGTCAAGAGAGTCGAATAATGTTGTTATCACTGCTGTACATTAATAAAAACCGACAAAATGAAGACCGAAAGAAATAACGCAATTGAATTTATTCCTAGTGGAGCACGACGATCAATATTTGCTCAAAGTGATGAACAAACAAAGAAGGCTAGAAATATTGGCATGCCACTACAGATAAAAAAATATAACTCAGTACTCACTGCAGTGAGTGATAGAGAGTGCATTTTCTCGTCGACGAAAACTTGAGGTCACGGACAGACGGACAGACAGACAGACAGACGGACATGGCGAGCACAATAGTGCATTTTTTCCATATATGAGAAAATTCGCTAAAAATGAGACGTAAGTAAAAAAATACGTACATGTATATACCAAGAAACTCGGAAATTTCTTACAGAAAATAACAAGCATAATAGCGAACCAGCTCTATTTTACAAAACACCTCTAATAATTAGGCTTTTACAGCATAGCAGCTGTTGCTTGAAGCAATAATTGGTCTCTATATAGTGGATATAACTGCAATGAAGTCCAATAACTTCCTGACTTGGGTGCCGTTGAAAACGAAAATAACAATGCAAAGTACAACGAAACGAAAGGCAGTTCAAGACATGATTGAATAGCTATTATGATGAACAAAAGAAACTCTATATAATCTCTTTACCTCGACGTCTTCCCGAGGAAGTTTACAGTCCGAGAGATGTTCTCTCAAGAACTTCCGCCTCTTCACGTCCTCGTCCAAATCCAAAAGTTCGTCCAAATCGACTTCCTTTTCTTCGTTTGTGCTCTCCTGACGACGAGACACGAAGCACAGTCAGTGGTATAGTATTAGTATAGTATTGTATCTTCGGCAATGAAAAATAGGCCTGGATAGGCCTATTCTGGATAGGCCAGGATAGGCCTATAGGCCTGTTGCGAAATAAAAATGACAGCATCGAAGGAAAATACTAAATTCAGTATAATTATAGGCGTCTAAGAGGTAATTGAAAACAATTATTTGATCGACGCACAGACTCAAAAAAATATTGAGTAAAAATAGTAATTTACAAGGTTTTAAGTTTGAAATACCACACGTATCAAGATGTTGTATTTCAAGATGAAAACCAACACGTATTATGTAGAAGTAATTCAACAAAATCATAGAGAAGCGACAATCAAATGGAAGGTGCGTTATTTTGGAAGGCTAACATAAAAAATTTGCCATCCAAATTTGTGCATTGCCATATTCACCAAAAAATGATTAAATGATTATTCTGCTCATTTTCAGATCAATGTTTTACACCTTACGCAGATTCTGGAGTCTCTAATCGACCTAACCTGACCCTGCGCGCTAGATGCTCAAGAAATTCAAATGTAGATGAGTAAAAAATTTATTAGTAATTTAAAGATGAGCCGGATAACATTATTTTTCAATTTCAACTCCAAGCGAACGTAAATAAAGCAATTGAGTGGCTTGGATGGATTATGGTAGAATAGTGTTGTTTTAAAGCTTTTACACAAAACGGAGATGAATATATGGATTGACTGGCTTGAATTGACGAAGTTCGAAAAGTCTTTTTCAGAGCTACATCAGCAAACGGACAACAGCAATAAAATAACTTACTGATTTAGATTGATAAATGTCCAATGTTATTTTTCAAAGCTACAACAATGAACGGACGTAAATAAAGCAACTGACGGACTTAGATTGATAAAGGCCAATGCCATTTTTCAAAGCTACAAAAACGAACGGGCGTAAATAAAGCTATTGCTATTTACCTAACAGACTTAGATTGATAAGATCCATGTTTTTTCAGAGCCACAACAACGAACGGAGGTAAATAAAGCAACAGACTGACTTAGATTGATAAAGGCCAATGTTATTATTCAAAGCTACAACGAACGGACGTAAATAAAGCAACTAACTGACTCAGATTGATAAAGGCCAATGTTATTTTTCAAAACTACAATAACACACGGATGTAAATAAAGCAACTGACTGACTTAGATTGATAGAGGCCAATGTTATTTTTCGAAGCTACATCAACAAACGGACGTAAATAAAGCAACTGACTGACTTATACTGATAGGTCGATGTTATTTTTCCAACTACAACAACGAACGATTGACTGACTTATGCTGATAAAAGTCAAAGTTATTTTTCAAAGCTACAACAACAAACGGACGTAAATAAAGCAACTGACTGGTTTGGACGGATAAAGCATCTGGAGTTTATCGTACATCCACATCTCGACTCCCAGACGCTTCCTGATGAGGGCCATCTGGTGAGCGCCGTACTTGGCTGTGAGATATTTCTCCTTGCGCTCCTTCATCTCGCCCGGCGCTGCGAAGTCCACGTGAAGCGAACTCTGACAACACAACATAAGCAGTAAAAGCATTAAAATATCAGCAGCAACATCATTTAAACATTACCAGTAAACTCTGACAACACAACGTCAGCAGTAAACGCATTAAAATATCAGCAGCAAAATCATTTAAACATCACCAGTAAACTCTGACAACATAACGTCAGCAGTAATAAAACGGCATCAAGAAAATAATTGAGGGATTATTAGCAAAATCCTTGAAGTTTAAATTTAAAATCACCTGTAAAATTATTTAAACATCACCAGGAAAATTATTTAAACATCACCAGTAAAATCATTGCAACATTATAAGGAAAATAATTTGAACATTATCAGGGAAATCATTCAAACAACAGCAGTAAAAAATTCACACAACAGTAATATCATTCAAGATCAATTGTAAAATCAATTCTGCATTATCAGAAAAATAATTTAAACATTACTAATTGAATCATTTAAATATCACTAGTAAAATCACTGCATCATTATAAGGAAATTTATCAAAACATTATCTGTAAAGTTCTCAGAATATCATCAGTGAAACAATGGAAGCATCATGAGCAAAATGATGGCAACAGGTCATGGGCGCATTTCTTCAGTGCCGACACTTCTATTCTATTCTAAAACATAATCAGTAAAATAAGTCACTAAAACTTTGTTTAAGGCAACCTACGTCAATCCTATACGTCCTATGTACAAGGGTTTGTTGACTATGACTGGGTTACGATATAATTGAACAATATTCGAGAGAAATAATCAAATAATAATCACATAAAAAATGAATTTTCGGATAGGGCAACGTGGGGCAGCGCGCCCCCCACTTTTTTTAAACTAAATTTTTGATGAAGTTTTAATTGATACGAGGTGGTTCTTTGTTTTGTTTAAAGATACAACTAATGAGGAATGTATGATGTGAATTAGACGCCTATATGTTTATGCAATTTTTAATGAAACACTATTTTGTAAAAAGTGTCAAAATGGGCCCATTGCCCCACCCCTGGGGCAATGGGCCCATAGGCTTGGGGCAAGGCGCCCACCCTTGGTCCCTTGACCAGAAATGTATATTTTTCGTTTAAAAATGAAAAAGTAACACATTACAGTTAAAAATAAGAAAACGAAATAAAAAATATGACATTCACTCATTTAATAACATCTCAAAAAAATCATATACTTAACTTGAAAAAATATAGTCTTGGCTTGAAAAATCTATCACTGACGTGAAGAAAAATATTTCATTGACATAAAAATATATAGCCTTGACTTAAAAAATATATCCTTGAGGTAAAAAATTCGTCCTTGACATGAAAAAATGTATCCTTGACTAGAAAAAATATATTTAGTTGATCAGAAAAAAACTTCGTTCCAGTTTCGTCCATAATCCAGATATTATGTGCAGAGAATTCGTACCTAATCGTGATTTCAGCCAACACCATAAAAACTCATCAACATTTGGCTCAGTGGTTTGTGCTGAAATCAACTTTTGGCAAGACAAGAGGGGGGTCATAAATACGCATAACTAGAAACTAAACCTGCTGCCTTGAGGCGGCAAATAAAAAAATCATGCAATATGAAGTATAATTTGTAATTCAAAAAGCTAGTCATAGTTTGAAAAGGTCATTGAGACAAATATAATGATGTATAACACAAGACTTCACCATGGGCGTTTTGCCCCGTGATACGCGGGGGCCCGTTGCCCCACTAGGTATCATTTCTATTTATATCGTGTCAACATTTTATTTTAAAAGCTAATAGTCTAAACTTGATCTCAAAATTATCCCTATAAATATTACTTTGAAAATATAATTCACAGTAATTTCAAAAGCTTCATCTACAGTAATCGAAAAAAAATTTTATGTAGCAGCAAAAAAATTTTTATCTGGACTAAAACAGTTATTCACAAATAACTTAATAACGCAAACACTTAGCAAAACGTAAATACGTACACTTAATCCCAGTGAAACTGTCGACCGGCGGTAGAGAACACGGACCAATATCTGCCATACTTAGCGAGAAACCCGCTATGGGCCCATGACCCGCAGTGGGTTCGCTGCCCCATGTTACCCTACTGGAAGCGGTTCAAATATAACGAGTACAAAATTATATCGCATAATTTTTTTCGATGCACGAAATAATTATATTTAAATTTAAATTAATCGATTAAATTATTAAGTTTATTTGATTGCTCACTTTAGGCGACCTTCGACCCCGGTCTGGCGATGCCGGCACGACGCCTCTCGTGGTTCTCTGCTCCCCCGCTGTGTACGCCACGCCCACCTCCATCACGCTCTGCAACAAACTTTAAGTTAATATAGGCCTAATTGATGTTCTGACTTGCTATTTTTCTGAAATATGTTGCACAACCCTTCCCATAAACATATGTATAACCGGTGTAAGAAACGGTAAGTTAATATAGGCATAAAATTGATGTTCTAACTTGCCATTTTTCCGAAATATGTTACACAACCCTTCCCATGAGCATATGTATATATGCTGTTCAGACTTGCAAACTTCATCACGCCCTTCAAAACATCCCCTGCAAGTAAAGCCTAATTCAAGCTTTAGGGAAACTTGCTGACTCTTGCCCAGTGTTTTCCATTGCCTCTGACAGGTACCCAGCTTATCTTATCGCGTCCGACTCCTAAAATTTATTGTTAGTCTATCCCGAGCAACAACGACATGACAAAATGCAATAAAGTTGTAAAATCACCGAGATTGGAGGAAAATACAAATTAAATTGGGAAAGTGTGGTGCAAATGTGAGAAGAATGAATGGAAAACGTGTAACAGTGAAATAAATTCGGAAGTGAACTAAATGAATGCAACTATGTGAGAAAAGTGATAAAAAGTCTACACAGACACATGCTCCAGCATCATACGAGTTCCAAAAGGACAACAAACCACGTGGCTTTAAATGATCTTCAGTATAATTATAGGCGTCTAAGAGATTAATTGAAAACAATTATTAGATCGACGCACTCAAATATAAAACCTCAAAAAAAAAATATTGAGTAAAAATATTTAGGTTACAAGATTTAAAGTTTGAAATACAACACGTATCAAGATGTTTATTTTCAGATGAAAACCAACACGTATTTAGTGGCTTTAAATGATCTTCAGCGAAAAAACGCACGCGGTCAGCGTCGGGGTTCGGCGCGCCGAAGAGCGCCTCGTGTGCCGTGGGGCGAGCCCTGGCCGGACCTAGAGAGCTGGTCGAGCCGCTGCGCGAAGAGGCGGCCGAGTGACCGTCAGAGGACCCTGACTGTGAGGAGGATTGGGACCCTCGACCTCCGGACGCCGAGTCCAGAGAGTGCCGGTATTTATCTTTTTTATATGATTTGTTTTCCTCATGGGACGACGCAGCGAGGAGATTCGAATCCGATTTCGATTTTGAGATTGAGTCGTCAAACTTGACACTCATTTTCGAGGGACTACTGCCCTTGATCTTTTTTAAACGAGACAACATCGTGAAACTTGAAGAGTGTAAATTTAAACGGACAAAGAAACTATTGCACTTAGAATGTAAGAGGCGAGAGATCAAGCCACGCGGCAGTCAAGTCGATAGTACAACAGTGACTATTACGCCTCAGTCATCGCGAATTACAAAACAAAATGCCATTCATCTGTTTAGATAAGCCTCCATGTCCATCTGCCGTCATTGAACGCAGATATTCGGGAGCCAAGAAAACCTAAAATGCCGGTTCTCGCGATCTGCTTTAAAACGACTTAACGCTACAATTTACAATCACGACACAAGTCATAGACACGTCTCGTTCAAACGACACAGGTAAACTGGCAGGAAGTTCTGCTGTCAAAGAGTTACCGTTGGTGCTCATGCAGATTATGATGGCCGAGCTGGTGATACCAGCCATCTTATCTGGCTGTAAAATTCGAGTGGGGCGATATGGGACGTGAGTGGTTACGGCTGTAGATGGGACACACATGAGCCATTGTACATTACTACTATGGGTATCGAGTCCACTGCATGGCAGTCAATATTCCGGTTTCGAAGCATGGTCACCTCGTGCGGAAATATATATAATGGAATCATTGAATAACTGCATCCACAATGAATCAATAATGAAGTTCACGAAACTAAACTTTCTCAATACCACTAATGGCTGCTCGAACTTTCGCTTTGTACGCGGCGTGTGATGTGGGTCAATGTTTTGCTTTTGATTCAAGCGAAGAATCGAAATCTTCGGAAGATCTGACGCGCATGATAAAGTATGCGGTCTTTCAAGCATGAAAGGCAGCGCTATCGCAGTGATGATTTTTTTTAATTAAAGCGTTATCGAGAAGGCCGGAAATATAGATGAGGCCATAAATAGACAAACTGGTATCACTTAAAAACATACATCATTCAAAATAGATTTTTAACCTTGGTTTATATAGATTTTATATATGGTTTATGGTTATAATCTATATATAGTTTATGGTTATGGTTTATTTTATAAATGGTTTATATAGATTTTGAATCTATATAAACCATTTTTAGAGAATTTGGAACATGCAAGCAATGAGATGTTTCCTGGTCTACAGCAAACTTGAATGAGAGCTTGGCGAAAAAAACGGGAAGTGAAGATAATAAAGATTGTTAAATCGCTTTGGCATGTGGAAGAAAAATCTGCAGGAAAAAATACCGGAAAATGATCAACATCCAAATCACTCTCGATTGTAAGGGGAAAACAAATGAAGGTTAAATTTTTTACTCAAATGAGTATTGCATGCATGAGGGCGCACTTCTGAGAAAAATTTATTTTACTTTGTTTTAACTGCGTTAAAGGAGTTAGTGATTGCTTGATTCAATTGAATCAAGTCTAGAAAAAGGCCAGTAAATTAGAAGAATATAGATTCTTGTCTTAATTCGTTTTAAATTCGCTCAAATATGATACGCACAAACATATAAACATGCAATATTTTCATGAAATATTTGACTGCAAATATTAAGCCCTAGAAGCCAACGGCAGCTGTGAGTAAAAGGAAAATGAATTTGTTTCAGAAAAGACACAGGCTGGCATGAAGCCAGGCGCACGCACCAAGGTCATGGAAATTAAAGTGCATATATTCTTCAGAGGTAAAAACTGGCATTTAGGCTGAGACCTGTAAGCTCTGCTGGCGATATCACTCCCCCGAATCTGCTGACTCTGTAAACTTGTAATGCAAGCGTCAGTAATGTCGCCAGCCGTTAGTGACGGAGAGACGACATACTTCATTAGCTGCACAGGCAGTTCTTGGGCTTTGATAGGCTTGCTAATATCACGAAAGATAGTTTACGAAGACAACACTACAAGATAGATTGTTTAGAGACATCTGAATTTGATAAGTTATACAGGCTAATTAACTGGGATAGATTGCTTTAATCGAGCGCGGCTACTTAAGCATGGTGCACCCGTTTAAATGATGCCACGTATATATCGCAAATACCTAATGAACACGCAAACACTGCTTAAAATAATTCCTCGCCAATTACGAGTCTTTTATCATTAAATAAATGTCAGTTTGAATATGGATTGTTTCGCATTATTTCACAAATAATTAATATCTTAAGCGCCAATTTTAGATCTTGATATGCCACAAGGTCATCGAAAACGGAAACCGACTCTGACTGAATGGGACTTAAGAGTATACTGAATATTATTTTGTGTCTGGATTTAGAAAAAATTTAATAATTAAAAAATATAACTCAGTACTCACTGCAGTCAGTAACAGAGCCCGCATTTTCTCGTCGACGAAAACGTGAAGTCACGGATGGACAAACAGACAGACGGACGGACGGACATGACGAGCACAATAGCGCCTTTTTTCCTTAAATGAGAAAATGCTCTAAAAATAGTTTTATGAATCGTTCACTCTTCCATAAACGACTGAGATGGTCTACTGAGGTCTTCGAGTACGGGAGTTCAAGATTGATTAGTTGTTTGATAAAGAACGTATACATTGATATAAAATGAAGTGCCTGCATAGTCAAACACTTAACTCTGTTGGCTGCACTATCAAAGTCGATAAATTTCTGAATAGATTTTCCGACCATTGGAAGTGACGGCAAGATTTTATTTCATTTTGCTGTTACCAGGATTTCTAAGGGCCTCGCTGTTTCAAGAGTCGTCGTATGCAGTCCAACGAGATAACTGGCAGCTCTCTATAAGCCAGCTTTAAAACGAATGCAGGAAACTTTTTAACTGATATGGTCGGTCCAGAATTGCGGGCTTATGGGCTCTGCTTCAAACGAAAGCCGTGCGTGAAATATGCGCTTTCTTCAATATCAGTTTGGGATTTTTGAATTGTTGATGGACGAACAATTTAACAAGTGCTGTCTGAGAGATAAATTCAGAAGGGATTAGAAGAATCGCAGTGAATAGAATGCATGTTTTCTCGGGGCTTACATGGCAGTATATATGGGATATTATTTTGGGTTTAATGACTCATACAATGGTAAACTTGTATTTAAGTTTTGAATGAATTTTTCTTAGTTTTAGTATTTACGAAGAAAATCCCATTTTTGATGATTATTTTTCTTCATATGATAGCGTAAAAAAATATAAAGAGAAAAATATCGCTGTGGAAGATTATTAGAAAATTAAACTTTTTACGGCAACCATTAAACACAAAACAGAATCATATATATTCATATTCCAGGTATTTTGAGTTGCACACTAGGCTTACCCTCGGTCACTGGAGCCAGCTTTACGACACGTGTCAAAGGACACAGGAGCTCGAGATGACGCTCATAAACATCACAGGTAGGAGGCTGCTGAGCGCTCATCCATTTCCAGTTCTTAATTTTGTTGTTACCCTGCATTAAAAACCTTCAAGGTGTGGCAGGTAAGTCTTATTCATACATTCATTGAGAAGATATGAGGAACTCTTATTCAAACAAAGCCTGTCGATTTAACTCGAATCTAGTTGCCACGACATCAGTGCAAGGCATATTCTCTCATGATCATAGGTTTCAAAGACCATGCAAATCAGTAGGTTCATAAATAATTAAACTGTAAAGAATGTACACATGAAACATACTGTACATCTATTAGCCAATCTGACGGTAAGAAGAATAATAGAAGGCGGATATGGTGTTCGAAGTGCCCTAACTCGAAACCTCTTAGGACATCAAAAGGCATGAAGAGGCATGCGGCTTCCTTAATTGTTCACTGATCATATCAAGATCAACAAGGGCAACAATTGCCAGGAAGAGGAATAATAGAAGGCTGATATGGTGTTCGAAGTGCCCTAATCCGAAACCTCTTAGGACATCAAAAGGCATGAAGAGGCATGCGGCTAACTTATTCACTGATCATATCAAGATCGACGAGGGCAACAATTACCAGGAAGAAGAATAATAGAAGGCTGATATGGTGTTCGAAGTGCCCTAATCCGAAACCTCTTAGGACATCAAAGACATGAAGAGGCATGCGGCTTACTTGTTCACTGATCATATCAAGATCAACAAGGGCACCAATTGCCAGGCTCTCACAAGCACTTGGTAGAGTATCGATCTCACCGAGAACCATGGCGCTCCTGCTCTCACTTCAGTCTTCTCTTTTCGACACTTTCTTGGGCCCGACCAAACATTTACGTGAAGCGTGGGAGGATCTCTACCCTATAGGATCTCCTCAGTCTATCTAGGATCTCATCAGTGAAGCTGGTAACTGTCCTGCCACGCACTCAAGCCGAGGGAAATTATCAATCGATTGAATTGGGCTACAGGATGGATAATTGTAACGCTTCCAATTACTTCTTGTGAATTATTCACGACAAGAGACGTGACAAAGGAGGTTCTCAGGTATTCAAGTGTGTTTCTGTGAGTTCCAAGAGAGTATGTATTGCATGAAGACTGCATGACAACAAACTTTATTTGTGATTCGGTATAATTATCAGAGAGAACACAAAGTTAAAATGGTAAGAAGAAATGAATTGGAAGACGTTTTTACAATAGCTAAAAATATCCATGAACTGAAATCGAAGTAGACCTAACGTTTAAATATTTAGCAGGTGCATCTGACGGTGCCAAATAGATTTTAAGATTATAAAAACTCGTATTCTTTGTTTGAAATTTTCGTTCAAATTAGGGAAAAAGCATGAAGAACTTTATTTTCAAATGATTTGAGAGAACCAGGATGCATTTATCTATTTTCAGTGCGGTTAATGGCCAAAGGGCAAGGTTTAAAAATGTGAGATTCTATTCAAATAGATGATACCAATTCATTTATTAATTAATTCTCTAGACAAATGAAATGCATCGACTCGGTTTACTGCAGTAATCTCAAGAGAATTAATACAATAACGTAGCACCATACTCCATAAATATTACGTTGCATATTTTATAACCTTTTAAACAGAAGCAGCGAACAAAGCTCTCAAGCATATGAATCCGAGTGAGACTTGTGAATGCTTTTCACGACAACAACGGCAAATTATCGGCCACTACAGAAACTAATATAAACTTCAAACCCTTAACTCTGTTGCAAGCTGTCAGAGTGGTGCTAAAGAAATCACACAACCCGGGACGTGTTTCCAGACTGGCGTAAAAGTTTTCGGCAAAGGGAAGCTGGACTCTCCAGTTTTTTCCTCGTACAGCCGAGTTAGTCTGTCACCGTTTCTCATTGAATTTATAGGGAGCGGGAAAAAATACTCCACGGAAGCTTTGCATAACAAAAGAACGCACAACTTGTCGGCGAAATGTTGAGCTATGAGAGAAAACTCCGGGAGCGGGAGAAACGAGGATACCTTTTCTTGGACTCTGGA